ATAGGCTTGGGGTCCTGGCATGGTGCTGTGAGATAACGCTTTGACCTGCTTTATCCCACAGGTCAGTTTGAACCACAGCGTGGTAGTTCAAACTCCTCAGTCGCTCCTTGGAAACCCTATACAGGGTTACTATGAGTCGGAACTGATTCAACAGCACTTAACAAGAACAACAAAGATAGTATGTACCAGGCACAGGGCTAGGTATTTGCTGTTGTTGTTACGTTCCGACTCATAGCGACCCTGTATAGGGTTTCCAAGGCTGTAAATCTTTACGGGAGCAGAAAGCCTCATCTTTCTCCCACAGAACAGCTGGTATTTTCGAACTGTCAACCTTGAGGTTCGCAGCCCGATCGTAACCACTACGTTACCAGAGCTCCTGGGGCTAGATGCTAGAGATACAAAATAAGTAGTTCACAGTCCCTGCTTTTTGAGAGCTCACAGTCTGGTGAGGGAAACTGACAAGTAATTAGATGGTTACAATCAACCTCTGAACCATTTTGGCCATGACTCAACCTGTCCATTCATTTGCCACTTCTCATGAACTGAACTGTGCTTTTAGTTGTTTATTTATGTAACTATTTGGTCTTTCCAACTTGATTGTAAGCATGTGCAAAGCCAGGCTCATATCACAGGACTTTCTGTGTTTAGTCCAGTGAGGGAAGGAGCCCTGGTGACACAATGACTGAGCACTGGGCTGCAAACAACCGCTCTGCAGGAGAAAGACTGCTTCCATAAAGATGTGCAACTTTGGAAACTCCAGAGAGCAGTTCTACTGTTCTTCAGGGTTGCTATGAATAGGAATTTATTCAATAACAAAGGACTTGTTTTTAGTCCCTTGGGGGAAGTCTCTGGGTGGTATAAGCCCTTAAGTGCTTATCTATTAGCTGAATGGTTGACAGCTGAAAACCACCCAGAGTTAGCTTGCAAGATAGACCTGGCAGTCTGCTTTCCAAAGTCACAGACTTAAAAGACTTATTGAGCTCTTCTACTCTGCACACATAAGTTGAAATTAACTCGATGGTAGCTTACAACAGTACAGTGGGCACACAGGGGATGCTCTGTATGTGCTTGTTGAATGAAGGTGGTTCATGAATAAGGTCATTTCCTTTGGCAGGAGATAGTTTTGCAGGATCTTCTCCATCTTAATGTCGTCACCCCTGTTGGGGAGTGAGTCCCAAGCAGCCTGAACTAGCCACTAATGCCCACAGTCCATGGTATCTCCTGAGCTGTGAGTGTAAAATCAGCTCTAAAGCTCAGATAGGTCTGCAAGGCTGTTACTGAGCTTTGAAACCGCTGGAAGTTGTTGCTGTCTTTGAGGTAGGGAGTACTTTACAAACAAATGACAGCAGTATTGGAGCTTCAAACTTCTCAGTAATTGTCTTCCTTTTCTCTGAACGGGCCAAGATTGCAAGAGTCACGAGAGGAGGGGGAAGACTTTAACAGAAAGCAACAGAAAATGGAACAAGGTCTCATGGATCCCTTTGTTAGCTCTGTAATGCAGAGGGCAGGGGTGGCCTGAAGAAGAGTTCTCTTGAGTCCAAGGAGAGTCAGGGAGACAGTGCCAGGGGAATGGGAGGTAGAGGGCCACGAGGGGAGAGTTCAGCTCTGGGCCCCTGAGTTTTGCACCTTGCACTGACAATAGAAGGAAATTGTTACCATTGAGTGTATGGGAGGAGGGGTGGGCGGGAAAGATGTTTTCTTATAGCTGAGCTTCAGCTAACAAGACTATGTTTTTAAGCTATTTAAGAGAAATGGGGAAAGAAAGAAAGAACAGTGAGTACAGCTCTGCTAATGAGGTGCTGAGGCCTCCTGGAGAGCAGGCAGGCATCCCATGGGGGCGCCAGGAGGGGGAGTGACAAATGCCGAATCTCTGAGCTGCAGAGGAGGCTCTGGACCAACAGGTTCCTCACCAAGGAAAGCACCAGTGATCCTGTGAGACAGAGAGCGGTGAGCGAGCAAGACAGAACTGAGACTTGCTGAATTTACTCCTTTAAACATCCCTCCCTTTAAACTCACTAACTATACTCTTCAAGATGTCCCGGCTGCTGTGTGTCTACAGTGTACGGAACATTGGTCCAGTCCAAATGCCAAGCATTCTGATAAGTAGCAGCTGCTAACTTGGGGTCAGAATCTGCAGATTGAAGCCTGACTAAAGACATCTCCCTCCCAATTCTAATATTTCATTCTCTGCAGATCAGTTTCTGCCAGTTAGAATCCATTTGTAGACTGTGTCCTTGAAATCAAGCATCAAGCTGTCATTTCTGGCAAGTCCTCCTCTGGTCAGTGACTAGACTCTGAACTGCTATGGTCCCTCTGGACTGACCCTTATTCACCACACAGACAAAAGGAGCAAGCAATTCAACAAACGGCCTGAATACGCAAACACAAGCTACCAGTTCTACATGCGGCTGAATTCGAGGCAAAGGAATTCTTTTCTTAGATGATTTTTAATTTATAATAGTGGCACAAGTGATGAACACATTTGGCCGCTAAATAAAAGGCTGGATGATGGATTCTCCCTAGAGGTACTTTGGAAGAAAGATCTGGTGATTTATTTCTGAAAAATCAGCCACTGAAAACCGTGTGGAGCACAGTTCTACTCTAATTGGCATGGGATTTGCCAGGTGTCAGAACTGACTTGAGGCAACTGGTTGGTGGCTTCTAATGTAGATGGATTGCAAATGGTCATTATGCTAAGACATGCAAAGCCACTATCCCCTATAATATCTTTCTCATTAACTTCCACACTCAAGGTAGCAACAACCCACCATCCACCCATTGCTATCAAGTGATTCCAACTCATACTGACCCTGTGTACGATTTCAGATGCTGTAAACCTTTTTAGGAGCAGAGTTTCAGCTTTCTCCTCCAAAAGAGTGGCTGGTGGGTTTGAACTTCTGACCTTGCTATTAGCAGTCCAGTACATATCCTATAGTGCCACCAGAACTCTTTAGGTGGATCTGTAGGGTGAGGGGATGGGAAACTCTAACTTTGAACTTGTTTATTAATGACATCTTAATCCCCTTTGGTTTAAAAAGTCCTATGTAAATGGTCCAGTCTCTTGGAGGTGGCTTTTCCTCCTCCTGCTCTATATCAAGGAGGCGTGGTGCAGTATAGTGTATTTCTGGGCTTCACTGTGGTGTGGGAGGGATAAGGGGACCCAGCTACCACAATCCTCTAGGATCTCATGAGATACTGATGACCACTGAGGTATGAGCGGTCCTGTCTTGCTCTGAAGGGTAGGCTAATACCTTCCATTAAAGGCCCTGGTCTCGGCCATTGGCTTCCACTTGAGAAGCCCAGCTCACTGCCATCTCTTCTTCCCAACCCCAGGCCTCTGTGAGTTGACTCCTTCCTGGACCACCCCTCTACACCCACACCCCTTCCCGGAGCCCTGGGTAGTACTGAGCTAGTAAATGTTTAACAACAGCTTCTTAGTTTCTGTGGGAGGTGGGAGGAGCCTTGACTTTTAGCATTTGCCGGTTGCCATGGTGTACAGACTCCCACTATGGTCAATTTCAAGCTGACAACACAACAACCACTAAGCATGAGTTGGGAAGAAATGTGCTCAGTAGATTCCTGTGAGTGGGTACTAGCTGGCTCTAGCACTCTGCTGTTCTTGAGGAGTTTTGGGGCCCCTGCTTCTCAAACAAGCACTGCCTCATATCATTCTTCTCCTCCTACACCTGTCCCATGACGTGACTGCATAATGCCCTTTTAGGTGTGGTGGCTAACCATTCTTCATAGGCTCACTGCCTATGCTTAGCAGGGTTCCAGGAAGCCCATACATCCATGTCACCAGCCTCCCCCATTGCTGGCTTGATATTATAACCCAAGTGGGTAAAAGAAAACTATATGCCCTTCTTACACACCAACAATTTCTCTCATTCCCTTCCCCGTATTCACTTGGTCGAAGTATTCGTCTTCCTACCTCCTCTTCATCTACAACAAGGGCCTCAGGAACTCTAAGGCTCACAGTTAAGTTTTACTGTGGAACCCATTCTATGACATGTATCCCCCAGATGTGCCCTTCAGTACACAGACAGCACTGGGCATGTGCAGCTGTTGTTGTTACCTGTCATTGATTCTAATTCATGTGATCCCACATGTGAAGAGTAGAACTACTTAAGAGGGTTTTCAAGCCATGACTTGGAAGCAAATCAACAAGCCTATCTTCTGAAGCACCTCTGGGTTGGTTTGAACTGCAGACCTCTTTTCTAGTAGTCAAGGACTTAACCTTTTGTGTCACCTTGGGACTCTTCTACATCTGTCATATAACCAGTGTGAGACTGTGATTTGTTGATTGCTGAATGAATATGGTTATTCCAGAATTCTGATATAAAGTTAGCACACCATTCAATTCAGTTTGCAATAAATAACTAATGTCTGTCTAGCACGGTACTAAACACTGTGGGAGTCACAGAGGTAAATACAAAGCTCATTCTTCTATTTGTCCATTTAACCCCTGACAGACAGGAGGAAGGTAGGAGTAGGAATGAACGTAGACATGGCAGGGTTGTGCTATTAGGAAGAAAGCCAGACTGACTTCCTAATGCGAATACATATCTTGGGGATCATCTGGGTAATTTAGGAAATACCCGGGCTCAGGTCAAATCCTACTCTTCCCCACTCCCCCCGCCCCAGCTAAGCTGTACATATGTGTTTATTCACAAGAAATATGTATGTTACAAGTTGAGTTTCCACTATAAAGTCGAAACTCCCTGAGGGCAGGGACTGGGTCTTTCTGGTCTTGTGTTCATGGTACTAACACAAGGGCATTTGGTGGGTATGCAATAACATTGTTGTAGCAATTAATGTAAGTAAGTGGGGAGAATAGTCTTACTTTGGCTAATTATCCAGGTTTGGGGCCTAATCCTTCCTTCTAGCCACCACATAATACTTCTTGCAACTTGTTATCAGTTTATGTGAGAAATGAACTGAATAGAGACTTTTTGCCATCTTTCCCTTTCTTCCTCTCTCACTGCTTTTCTGAAACAAAGCATCCCTAGAAGCTTCAACTCTGGAGGCAATGGGTCGAAAGGAAGAAGATGACTGCAGTTCCTGGAAGAAACAGACGACCAACATTCGGAAAACCTTCATCTTCATGGAAGTGCTGGGATCGTAAGTTCTGGGACTGGGAGACTGGAGCCTGACTGGGCTGTTTACTATGGGGGGGCTGGAAAAGAAAGAGCTGTTCTGGGCTAGCAGCAACTGGTGAACTGGGACTGGGACTTGCTGTGGACCCTCTGTGGAGCTGTAAGATAGGCACTGGACTGGTTACTGCAAGGCTGGCAGTTCAAACCCATCAGTTGCTCTCTGAAACCATATACAGGGTCTTTATGAGTCAGAACCAACTCAACAACATCCACCACCACAACAGAGGGACCTAGAGAAGGAATCCTGGTGGCACTATGGATTAGGCACTGGCCTACTAACCTTCAGGACAGCTGTTCAAACCCATCAGCTGTTCCATGGGACAAAGATGAGGCTGTCTGCCCCTGTAAAGATTTAATGTCTCTGAAACCCTACATAGTGTTGCTATGAGATAGTTTGCAATGGGTTTGGGGGGTGGGGAGTGGGGCCTAGGGAATCTCTGGGTAGTGTAAGGATTAACTAGCTCAGCAGCTAACAGAAAGGATGGTGATTTTCAGTTCACCCAGAGGTATCTCAGAAGAAAGGCCTGGTTAGCTACTTCCAAAAACTCAGCTATTGAAAAATACTATGAAATGCAATTCTACTCTGACACACATGGGGTCTCTGTGAGTGACATTTGACTCACAGAAATGCAAGGAAGTGAGGGAACATTTTACAACCTTGGAAGTGGGTAGGGAGGACACTTTGGGGTAATACAGAGGGAAAGCTAGTGCATGGAGACCTCAAGGAAGACCAGCCTCTTTTACCCACTTTCTGCCTCTTTCCCATCCCTAGTTAGCCCCATCCTCCTTTCTGATCTATGCCCTTTGGGCATCCAGGATCTTGGGAGAGAGTAGTTTATAGCACAATGACTCGTTGACCCTAAAACGTTCCTGCTTCTCCTCACCAAGCTTCTTCATTTCTCCCAACAGCGAACAGTTGAACTCTGTAGTCAGCTATAGATGGAAACAAAGGGGCGTCTGAGGTCCAGAGAGCTATCAGGTTACCCAGCACCTGAATCAGCTCTCCACAACCATCATCTTCTCCCTATTTAAGTGATTTGGCTATGTTGGAAATATCAAGTCACTCTAGTTCAATATCCTACAACTCTTCGGGGTATCTGTGTCTGCCCTTTGACACTCATCACACAGATTGTAGATAAGAGACAGCTCATCTAGAGCTAAGGCTCCAATTATTTCTGCCTCTCCTTCAGGGTTGTGTGCAGTCTCTGACACAGCTGCTCTAGGTCACCAGCCCTGTCTCCTCAGAACTCCAGCTGATCAACTAATTAGTGGGGGTTAATTGAGCATGAGCAGTGAGTAGTCATCAGTAGGCTATCCATTCAGGCAAGCTTTCTCTTTAGCCAATTTTGGCTACATTTAGCTCCACTCTGCCTTATCAAGGGGGCAGTGGTGACCTCAGGCAACGATGGCTGCTCACAGGCTTACTTCAGACCGAGAGGAGCCAGGAATGGGACTAATAGACCTCTGTACCCTCGGTCCACAGGCAAACAGGGCTCAGCACATGAGGAAGAGCTCAATACCACAGCCGATCATAAGCGTTGGGTCTCTGCCAAAATGGGATTGGCTAGAAAGGAGTTGTTTTTGGCAGGATTCATGACCAAGGGTCACCTCAGTGAATCAGAGATGATTTGCTAAGCATTCCAAAAGCCAAAAGAAGGAAGAAGGCGTATTTGTCATCTGTTCAGACGTGTGTGGTAGGACTGGAAACAATGACCGAAAGACCTCTTAGAGCTCAATGAAGTCTATCGTCCAAGCTTCTAACCCTGGAGGATTACCAGAGCCACCTGGGGAGCATAGCCCTCTAATGTTTTTCTCATTAAAAAGATTTTTTTTGGTCAAATATGGTGTTAGGTGCCATTGAGTTGATTATGACTCATAGTTGAGTGGATTCTGACTCATAGCTACACCCTGTAATGCTGTGGAATGGCTACACAGAGTTTAGTGAAACAGATCACCAAGTATTTCTCCCACAGTGGAATTGAACTGCTAACCTTTCCATTAGTAGACAAAGCCAGTTCTCAACCAACTCCAGTCCCTAGTAGCCACTAACCTACTTCTTGTCTCTATGAATTTGCCTGTTCTAGATGTTCAACAGGACTCCTGGTGTGGTGCTGTAAGATAAGAACTAGACTGCTAACCACAAGGTCTGCTCCTTGGAAGCCCTACTCAGAGTCTATGTGAGTCAGAACCAACTCAAAGGCACTTAGCAACAACAGATATTCCATAAGGTGCATTGATGGCACAGTGATTAAGTACTTGGCTGCTAACTGAAAGCCTGGTGGTTCAAAACAACCAGTCACAATACACTATGGGAGAAGATGGGCAGTCTGCTTCCATAAGATTTGTTTTTGTTGTTGTTAAGTACCTTTGAATCTGTTCTGATAAAGGGTTTCTGAGGCTTTTAAAATATTTTGTGGGAGCAGAAAAGCCTCATCTTTCTCCTGCAGAGGAGCTGGCAGGCTCAAACCGCAGACCTTGTGTTTGGCAGTCCATTGCTCATCCAATGGAGCCACTGTGCTCCCCCATAAAGATAACAGTTTTGGAAATCCTATGGGGTAGTTCTAATCTGCCCTAAAGGGCAACTCACTACAAAAAAGGATGCTTTTTTTAGATGTTTCATGAAAATCATTCTTTAAAAAAAAAATTGTACCTGACTAATTTCAGAATTGAGTACATGCAGAGGCACCTTGACAAAAAAGACTGCTACTCTTCTGAGAAACCAGTCACTGGAAACCCAATGAAACACAGTTCTACTCTGGTATGCACCATGAGTGGAAATGACTTGATGGCGCCTACTTTGGTTAAGTTTGGACTTGATTTCACTCAGCATATTTCCAAGGTTCATGCAAGTCATAGCATGTGTCAGAACTGCATTACTTTTTTTTTTTAAGTTTTTATTGTGAATTGAGTGAAAGTTTTCAGGGCACGTCATCAGTTTTACTCCATTACTTTTTATGATTGAATAATACTCTATTGCATGCATAGTCCACATTTTGTTGATCTCTTCATATACACATACTTGTGTTCATCTATTCATCTATCCATACAGCGCCCTAGTGTGGCGCTGTAAGATAAGCACTGGACAAGTCAAACTCACTAGCCACTCCTTGAGTCTCTGTGAGTCAGAATTGACTCGGTGGCACTTTAACAGCAATTGATAGGCACTTGGGTTATTTCCACCTTTGACTATTGTGAAAAATCCTGCTATCTACTCAAATCTATTTGAGTCCCTCTTTTCAATTATTTGGGGTATTTATCTAGGAGTGGAATTGCTAGGTCATATGGTAATTCTATGTTTAACTTTTTGAGGAACCAATGAATTGTTTTCTACAGTGATTGATTTCTCCAACTTTCAATTATGAAAATGTTTAAACATACAGGGAGAGTGAAATAATTGCACAATGAAAGTGAATTCTACTTCCTACCTAAATTCAACAATTATTGATAATCCACACACACATGTACACACACATACACACACACAAATTTTTTGCTCAGTTGTTTTAAAGTAAGTTGCAAACAACATGACCTTTCACCTTGGAATCTTCTGTCTGTATTCTCTAAGGACAAAGGCATTTTCTGATAGACCTTCGTTGTCATTGTCACACTCAAGAAAATTAAAAAATTCTCGACTATTATCTTAGTAAGGTAATTAAAAAAAAAAATACAGGTTCTTGTTCTGAATTACTAAACTGGAATTTTGGGAGACTAGACCCAATGGCCAAGGAGCTCTGGTAGCGTAGTGGTTATGAATCGGGCTGCGAACCTTAAGGTCAGCGGTTCGAAACTACCAGCTGCTCCGCGGGAGAAAGATGAGGCTTTCTACTCCCGTAAAGATTTACACCCTCGGAAACCCTATACAGGGTCGCTATGGGTTGGAACCGACTCGAAGGCACATAACAACAACAACAACAACAACAGACCCAATGGCCAGGAAGGAATCTGAGGGAGCCCTGGAGAAGCAGTGGTTGAATCATCCAGCTGCTAACCATAAGGTTGGCCGTTTGACCCCCCCTGCCACTCCACGGTAGAGAGATGTGACCGTCTGCTTCCATAAAGATTTACAGCCTTGGAAGTCCTTCGGGGCAGTTGTACTCTGCACAAGAGTCTCAGAATTGACTTCACAGCAATGGGGTCAGGGTTATTTGTGTGTTTGTTTGTTTGTGGTCAGGAATCAGCATCTTAAGTATGTCCCTGGTGATTTTAATGTAGCCAAGTCAGCACTGATTTGGGGAGTGGAGGACTAAGAGTGGACAAGTCATATGTGTTACAACAGTTGAGGCTGAACAGAGACTTAAAGGAAGGCACCTTTGCAGCACTCAAGAGTGAGACTACAGTCCCCACAAAGCTACCAAGGTGAGGTGGCGTGCAGAGGGGAGTAGGTGTCGGTGGAGAGCAGATGCCCCTGGTCAGAAGCTATTAAGAGACCCATGATAAGGTCTCTTCTGATCCTCAATTCCTCTGGAACAATCCACCAGGGAGAATGACCTTCTGTTAACCCTGCCCAGACACCACCCACAATCCCAGGGTGATCTCCTTCTGAAAAATCAACCATGGAAAACCCACACAGTCCTGACACGCATGGGACTACCATGACTTGAAGTCAACAATGACTGGTTCCTTGTCAAGTTCAGGATACTGCAGTATTTGACTGGTGGTGGTGGTTGTGTGCTGTGGATTCGGTTCTGATTCATAGTGATCCTGCATAGTGATCGCTTACATAGCGATTCATCTCGATGATACTTAGCGATCACTTACATAGCGATTCATCTCTATATAGCAATCACTTACACAGCGATTCATCTCGATGATACTTAGCGATCACTTACATAGTAATCACTCAGGATCGATTTACAGCTATCCTGAGGCTGTACATCTTTACAGGAGCAGAAAGCCCCATCTTTCTACATCGGATCAGCTGGTAGTTTCAAACTGCTGACCTTGAAGTTAGCAGCCCAAGTCATAACCACCACACTACCAGAGCTCTAAAGCTATTCTGGATCAGAGATCTGTCACCAGAGCTCCAGGTCTCTACAGTTCACATTCCTGACAGAGAATTTTCTCCTTAGTCCCTATCCCACCCCTTTGTCCAGGCTCCCAGCAAGAAAGGAACAGTATTCAGAGCAAGATCTGAAAACCAAGCTCTGTTGCACAAGCACTCCTGACTCTGAAGTCTCTGCATGTCTTCGTGGCTTCTGACCCATGCAACTTTGTTATTGTTGTTAAGTGTTGTCAAGTCAGTTCTGCCTCATAGCAACCCTGTATGGGGTTTCCAAGGAACAGCTGGTTAGTTTGAACTGCCAACCTGGTGGTTCAAACTGATGTTTCGGTCCAGTACTTATCCTACAGGGCCACACCAGGACTGCCATGCAACTTTAGTGGCTAGAAACTAGTTCTCTGTTCCCTACCTAGCAGGACATAATTAAGTCTTCTAATCCCCTCTTCTGCCCCCACCACATACACCTCTACATGCAGAGTATGTGACTAAAGCAGTCTGAGACTGAAGAGCAATAACACTATGTCTAATTGCCATAGCATTGCACAGCTCTAGGGCACACTATTTAGATACACTGAAGACAAAACAGGGCGTGTAAATGCTGTCTCCAGGGTTGTACAAATTGAAGGCCTAGCTGATACCAGAGTGGATGTCAGCTTAAAAATCAGAGGATCGATCATCTATGTGTATCTTCAAAGTTACACATGAGAAAAATTATGAAGGTGGATCTTAGCATATCACAGTTCCTAGGAATCTTTGGAATCCTGGTGTGGTGCTGTAGGATAAACACCAGACTGCTAACCACACGGTTGGCAGTTCAAACCTACCAGTCTGTCCTCAGAAACGCTATTCAGGGTAGCTATGGATCTGAACTGACTCCATGGCTCTTAATGACAGCAACAAGGAACTTTTAAATTCACATAGTCAACTCTCTCGTTCTATAATTAAGGAAAGGCAAGCATAGAGATGAATAGAGTACAAAACTAATCCCAGTCCAAACTTCTCATACATCTATCCATCCAACCATCCATTCATTAAACATTGATTGAGCAGTTGCCTTATGCAACTAGGCACTATGCAACCAGGCATCCTTATCTTCCATTATTCCCTGCCTCATACTTTACACACCATACTGCCCACCCTCCATGTTTTTCTCCTGCTTCCTTCCCGTCCCCACCTGAAAAACCACTTCCTATTCTTTTTTTCACTAGCCTAGTTCTATTATCAGAGTTCTGGTGTGGATAAGCACAGGACGGCTAACCAAAAGGCTGGCGGTTCAAACCCACCAGCCATTCTTTGGAAACTCTATACAAGGTCACTATGAGTCAGAATGGATTCTATGGCACACAACCACCACCAATTCTCTCGTCTGTTAAAACCAAGTTCAGAGTGTTCTTATGTCAGGGAGCCGCATGTGTGCACCTCAGATAATCCAAGTGGCCACTTTGTACAAACTAGGAAAAAGTGTCACTTCCTCTAGACTGAATAATAATTACTAAATGAAAATCTACAATGACACCAAGATGAATGGCATCTCCTGGAGTTGCGCAGTATATAACCTACCCAACCATAACAGAGAGAGACCTGTGTCAGAATGCCCCATGTTTGTTTGTGTGTGTCTGTCTCTCACAATAGATTATACAGTGGGACAATACTGATCACAGTGCCTAACCCAGAGGTTCCATCAGTTCAGCAAGCATTCATTGGATGCCTAATAGTATTTTTCTAATCAAATGTTAATGGCTTACTTGTCTGTGTTCTTCACTAGACTACTGGCACCTTAAGAAGGCAAACATTACTCTCCTTTTATCTCCAGTGTCTAGGACTCCACTGATGCTCAATAAATCTTGGTTGAAGGAATGAGTGAATGAATGGATGAATAAAACAGGCTCTAAAGGCTCTGATTAACTCAATTCCAACTGCAGCTGGGGGAAACAGGAAACTCAGTCACAGGAAACACTAAGTATTTTCTAATGAAGATTTTTAAAGCTCTAAAAAAGCTTGACGGCGACCGGGACCTCATTCTAGCATATCCAGATGGCAGAAAAGAGGGCGACTCAGCTGTTTCCTCACTTAAACGCTGCCTCCAATTATTAATTTTAAAAAAACTAGTTGACATTGATTCAATTTGAACTCATGGTGACCCCATGTGTATCAGAGTACAACTGTGCTCCACAGAGCTGCAGTTTCAGTTGGTTGCCAGACCTTTTGTCCAAGGTACCTCTGCGTAATCTCGTTTCCGGCCAGCTTGTTAACTGTTCATGCCATCCATGGTCTATTCTACCCCTGGATAGTATTCAAATCCTAAAAATATCATCATTAACCAGGTACCACAATGGCCATGGAAACTAGCTACCAGCCACACCTGCCTTTATCTGTCCATTCATTTTCTCTCCAACAGTTTTCTCTAGCCAGCAGGAACTAAGTTTTATCTCTTGGTGTCTCCTCCTCAGAGGTGCTTTTTCAGAAGTTTTCCTGGTTAAGCAAAGACTGACTGGCAAGCTCTTTGCTCTGAAGTGCATCAAGAAGTCGCCTGCCTTCCGGGACAGCAGCCTGGAGAATGAGATTGCTGTGTTGAAAAAGTGAGTGGGGTTGAGGTTGGTAGAGTACAACTTTGAGATCATGCTTCCCTCATAACATTACCTTCAAGAAGAACTGGAGTGGGGCTTCCACACCCAAGGGCATTGCTCTCTTTGAGGGGTTGACAGTCAGTTTGGTCAGTCAGCTACATTTAGTCAGACAGCTTTGTTTATTTTTTGAGCAAATTAACTAATGAAGTGACTGGTAGAAGAGTTGGTTTGTTTAGGTAGGTTGGAGATCAATTAGCTCAAAGGAGCAAAAAGTCAATACAGAATCAATACCAGTAAGAATCAAATATTAAGAAAACAGCATAAGATTTGGAAATTAAGCTTAATATATTCCAAAGCAAATGTGGATTCAGCACCTAGCCATTCTGATGGAAACTACACTATCAAATTCTCAAACGTTTACAATGGAGCTCACACTACAAACCCTGGTGGACCTCTTACGGTGTGCCACAAGTGTGTGAGGCCATAGGATGAGGTGGACAAAACTCCTCACTCTCAGAAGTTCACACTTTCTGGCTAGACAAAGCCTGTTGTTGTTGTTGTTGTTGTTGTGTGCCATCAAGTTGATTCTGACTCATAGCAACCCTGTGTGACAGAGAAGAACCGCCCCCATAGGATTTTCTAGTCTGTCATCTTTATGGGAGTAGATTAGCAGGGTTTCCTCCTATGTAGCTAATGGGTGGGTTCAAACTCTTAATTGGCAGCTGAGTGCTTAACCATTGCTCCAACAGTGTTCCTTAGAAACAGAAGGGACCATAACAAACTGATTCTGTCTAGTGTGAATCCCATCAGCAAAAGGTATAGTTTGGAGGAGACAGGGCTTTCTTTTGTCTACATGTGTTTTTATGAAGACAAGTTATTAAGTACATTTTCAAAGAAAAGCGACCTTAATAGATGAGTAAAGCTTTGTGGGGACAGAAGTGGCAGTGAACAAAAAGAGTATCAAGAATGGAGGGAATCGTAATCATTGCAATGAAACAAAATATGACAGGATGAATGTAAAGCTGTTGTTCTCCCATGTAAACTATCACTCAACTCACAATAAAAACTTAAAAAAAAAAAAAAGTATTAAGAGGGGAATTCAGACCAGGAGGAGCATAAGCTTCAATGCAGAATCATGATAAAACTATTAGGGAAGAGTGTGGATTGAAAGCCCCTGAACTTAGAATGAGAAGCAGCTAAGGGATAGGAGATGAAACTAAAATGATGAAGTGAAATCTGGTAAGTGCTATTGGGTGCCATGGCTGTGAATGTTGACTCAGTTTTCAAGACAAATGTAAAAGAAGGCATGGTGAGAATTTAGAGCCATCCCTCTTAAGTAAAGCAGAGGATACAGCCTAGAGGCTGGGAGATCAATTGTAAGACTTTTTACACTGGTCTCGGTAAATGTTGAGGATACTAGCAAAAGTAATTGCAGAATTGTGTGATGGCAAGAAGGCTGGATTGAAGAGATGTTTCAGAGAGAGGAGCGGACTGTGTTTAGGTTGGCAGGTAAGAGAAGAGCATTACAAATTATTCTGAGTGATGACTATGCGCTATAATCAATGTAATTGATATTACTAAATTGTATACTTGAAAACGTTCAATTAATAAATGTCATGTTATAGATATTTACATCTATAAATTTTTTTTCTCAAATGAAAGTAAAATGATGCTGATATAGAGTTGAATTTGTGGATGGTAATATCATGGCTTCAGAATGAGAATAACGAAGGATATGCAGCCTTGGAGGAAATAAAATAAATTGGTTTGAACCTACTACATACAGGTATCCACCTATCTTCACATGTAGGCATCTGGAAGGATATTATAGATGTAGATCTGTGCTCTAGGGAGATTGTAAACTCATTGACAGCAGGAACTATAGTGGGCTTTCTTATCATTTGCGTGGCAATGCCAGTCCCCTAACATGATACATACTCAATAAATATTAGTTCAATGAGTGACTGAATCAATTAACTAATTATAGTACTGTCAGCTTCTACGTATAGTTGAATCCATCAGGTAACTACTGTGATATGTCTTATTTTAAGCAATATCTTAACATATTATAACAACTATTATTGATTAGGAGTCCTGTAGGATCTGTACTAGACTGCTCACCACTAGGTCAGCGGTTCAAACTCTACACAGTGTCACTAAGAGTAGGAACGAACTTGACAGCAGTTAACAATAACAGTGTTTAATGCATTTTATATGCATTATCTCTTTTAATTCTGAGATAATCTTATGAGAAAGATGTAATTTACAGACAAGGCAACTGAGGCTTAGAATAAGTTTTAGGAAAACCAGCCAAAACGACCCAGTTAGTAAGTGCCTGAGTCAGAACTGAGCCAAGTTCTACCTGACTCAGAATCTAAATTCTGAATCCCTGTGCTTGCAGCCATGAGTAAAAAATGCCTTGAGACTTTCTTCCCAAACAAACATTCACAAAAATTGTTGTCGGGAAAGCCAGCCCTCTCAGCTAGTATGTCTATTCTGCTGTCATAGGCTCTGAGTAATCACAGACACAGGTAATCTGGGGCAGTCTTTCTTGACTGCTGCACTATTGATGCTTTGGACTAGATAATTCTTTTGTGTGTGTGTTAAAGGATGTGTAGCAGAGTCCCTGGCCACTACACACTAGATGTCACTAACACTCCCTCAATCATGACAAGCAAATGTCTCCAGACATTGCCAAATGTCCTCTGGAGGTGCGAGTGGGGATAAAAATAGCCCCTGGTTGAGATTCATTCATCTAAGGCATCTCACAGAACAGAGTCCAAAAATAAGCAACTGCCTTGTTCTTCACAGTCCTAGAACAATGGTTCAGTAACATTTCCTCCATGATTAGACAGCAAAAGGCTCACCTCTGACTCACGGTGATCCCTCGTCTAAGAAAACAAAATGTTCTCTTAGACAATCCTGTGCCATCTTCATGCATGAGTACATTGTTGATTGTTGTGGGTATTGTATCTCTGAAGGGTCTCCTTTGTATTCTCTGGCCTCTACTTTGCCAAATATGATGTTCTTTTCTGATGATTGTTCTTTCCTGATGATGTGTCCAAAGTAAGTGAAGGAAATCTTGGCATCTTTGTGTCTAAGAAACATTCTGGTTTCATTTCTTCTAAGACTGATTTGTTCATTCTTTTGGCAGCTCACAGTATATTCAATATTTTTAGCTAACCCCAGTCCCTCCTGTTGTGCTACACTTTCTCCATGCAGTGTTTCTGAAGAAGGTCTTGATACCCCATTTCATAGAATAATCTAAGGACGGTTCTCCCTTTGCCTTCTTCAGGTGTTTTGATTTTCTACCCTGGTAAAGTTTAAGGCTCTGGTAGCGTAGTGGTTACGAATTGGGCTGTGAACCACAAGGTCAGCAGTTCGAAACTACCAGCTGTTCCGCGGGAGAAAGATGAGGCTTTCTGCTCCCGTAAAAGATTTACAACCTTGGAAACCCTATACAGGGTCGCTATGAGTCGGAACCGACTTCACGACACATAACAACAACAACAACAACAAAGTTTAAGGCAATCCCTGCAATTCAGTAAAATGTGTGCTCCTTGAAGGCAGGATGATCAACATTTATTCAACAAATGTGGATTGAACACCATACTGGGAATCTTCTCTTTGGGATTTCTTTGTGTGTGTGTGTGTGTGTGTGTGTGTGTGTGTGTGTGAGAGAGAGAGCCTTCTTATTAGGCTTCACAAGAACGTGATCTTCTTAAACAGTGTCATCAAAAGTCTCTGTCAGAAATGAAAGTCCAGTTGGGTTGTCTCTGCACTATTTGTTTGGACAGCCTGAATCGCATACCTTTCGCCATGACACTTAGCTTATTTACAGGATCAAGCATGAGAACATCGTGACCTTGGAGGACATCTACGAGAGTACCACACACTACTACCTGGTCATGCAACTGTAAGTGAAAGGTGACCTATTACCTCCACAGAGGTCTTGGGGGAATGGTGGGGTGGGGATGGGAGATGGGGCATGGGTGGGGACTTGTGGAGGTTGGGATTTGCTGAGGAAGGATATTGGTTGAAAGGTAGAGTCAAGGGTTAATTAAACAAGCTCGTAAATGCCAAGTTTCCCTTCAGGCTCACTGTGCCTCTGGTCATGGGTATGTTCTGTGTGGGCTGTGGGGTTGAAAACAATGACTGACTATTGAGTTGGTAAAGTACAGCCTTACCATATGCTAGTATTTCCTACCTGTAAGTAAATAACTGTTTGCAATCATCCATAATTCCCTGCTGCTCCAATCCCTTTCTGGAACTTTCTGAATCTCTCCAAGATCCAGAAACATTATGAAGGGTAATACCTGTCACAGTAAGGGGCCTGCAAATACTGTGCTTGCCAATCAAACTGAATGTTAAATATTTTAATATCACTCCAGGGTGGAATTCATGTGGGAGTTGAAGCTGTAGGTAGATAGATTGCAATTCAATATAAAGAAAGATTTTCCCAAAAGAGAGCCAACCAAGTTAAAAAAAACAAACAAAAAAAACAGGCTGTGATTGTGTTTGTGTCTCTGTAGGTCAGAAAAGATGCCTCATTAGACAGGCCACTGGGTCATAGTCATATGCAAGCAAGAGTTTTGATGGAGGATACACTTACATGGGTTAGAAGGGGCTCCTGAAGCCACTGCCTTGGACTTAGGCTTTTTTACTTTTTTAAAGTCCATACACACAAACACACACATGCATTCACTCTCACACACACACACATACACTCTCTCTCATACATATCTAACCATACAATCTCAGAGTGACTAGAGACAGTATGGTTTTTGACAGCTTGATTCCTCAGATCCGTCTCACACCCTGAAACTTTAATGAGCTAACTCAGTCCTGACCATCCTATTATTTCAGGGCTCACCTGAGGCCTAGTAAAAGACAAGCAGCAGACAGTTAAGGAAGCAGAGTGAAGTGAAGTGTGGAACTAGGTCCAAAGCAGCACTAACAGTTCCCTACCTCTGTACCATGTTAATGAGGCCACCTCAAGAGGAGAAAAGCACAATTCATCCCATTGGTCAGACAGTGAAGAGCTGGCAGGGAGGTGGGCAGCTATGGAATTCACTGTGTTGCTGCCAAATCTCCTAGAACATCAGCTTCAGGACTCAGACTGCTGAGAGTCAGAGCTCATTGTTATGGACAAAGACCATCTTTCTTGGGAACCTCTAGCTCCTACATGTAGGAGAGCTCAGAGTTTAACGACAGAAGCAGAAGTAGGATGGTATGCATTTTGATGAAGGAAACTACTGCATGGTACTACCATGCACATCACCCACATGTGATGCCACAAGATGACTGGGATAGAGAAGGGGTTGGAAAACCTGGATGAAGTAATCTGATGGTGCTTATCCTGGAGAAGCGAAGGCCTTCAGAAGAACACGTCACATGCTTTGAATACTTGGAATAGTATCCTTGTTCTGTGTGGCTGTGACTGTGGAATTGCTGTCTGCTATTAGAAACGACAGAGAGCCATCTTTTATTGTAATATATAGAAAGATTAAGATGCTGTCAAAGGAAAAACCATTCTATTTTATGAGGTTGTAGAAAAATTAATTATCTTATAATTCCATTTTCCAGGAACTTTTTTGAAGCTCCTTCATATTGTAGATGGAATGCAACGGATTGAAGGAAATCAAAATTGATCTTTAAATTGCCCTGAGTCCTGAAACACCTTATCATTCTCAAAAAGCTCAAGAGCCCTCACCCCATACTCTCTGCATATAGTATCACAATTTTTTAAAAAATGAAGAAATTCTGGCATAAGCAGTGAGCTTCATTTGCCTAGCTTCTCTTTCCTAGCTTGCCCAATTTCTGTTCCTCTCTCCTTTACTTTTTTTTTTTTTTTCTTTTAAATATACTTTTTGTTATGAATTTGAGTGAAGGTTTGCGGAACCAGATCACCAATTTTACATTCAACAAATCACGCACTTTATTATATTTCAATGATTACAATCCCCTCCAGGTGCCGTCACTTAACAGTATTTCCCTGTTTCCTGTAACTTACACTCCTCCCTGTGTCCTTCCCTAATTCATCTTTCTTCTGCCACCTTACCTTTTATTGCCCATTGTCTTCCCCATCACCCAAGTTAGCACATGTCTACCCTCTAGCCAGTTGAATACATCAAATCTTTCTTCTTTTGAAAATCAGAGAAATTTCCATTCTCTAATTTTCTGGCCTTTCTCTCCTTATTTTCTGTATTTTCAAAGATAGCTGGCATTTACAATTTCCTCAGTACTCTGGGATGTGACTAATCTTAGTCTAGAGTTTAATTTTATTTGGAAGACTCAGATTTGTCTAGTTATCCTCATCTACAATTTTCTCTTGATGTTCTTTGTTTCAGCATTTGTTATTTGAAAGTCATTCTTCTTCCATCTACAAGTATATTTGGGAATAATGTGTATCAAAGAATTACAGTTAATCTAATATTATCTTTGAGTACCAGGGAAAACTTGCTAAGTATTTTTTACAAAACCCTTGTATAAAAATAAATCCCTAATTTATAAAAAGGCTTTGTAAAAAATCATCAAATTGTTCATGTGAAACTTTTGTTGTTTTACTATTGTATTACCTACTTGTTTTTAAATTTTATACTTGGTTCAGTAGATTTTCCATCTCTAAATTATGTACTTTTCTAAAAATTTGTGCCTGTCCTTTTTTAAAATAATATATAAGCTCTTTTTTTTATGAGAAAATATATATTGTATCCCTTCTAGTACAAGAAAGAAAATGAAAAAAAAAGAAAAAAGAAATGTCTCCCTTCCTTCTTATCTTTTCTTTCCTTTTATTTATTTATTTTTCATTTTCTTTTATATTTAGATCTTTCTCAGATAAGAAAGGTGGTTTTCACCTGTAGACATTGAAACAAACTCAATTATGTTGTTATTACAATCACAACCATCTTCTAAAGGAAATACTAAATGAATATTTTAATGGAAAAATAGTTATAATATTTATCTTTCAGAAGAAACAGTATCTGCATATTTCAAATAATGTCTGTCTAATTGATAGTTCTCCCAGTCACGGGAACCACTGCTCAATGGCTATAATACTTACATCGCTTGTTTAAGTCCAGACCCGCTCTGCTGTGAAGTCCGGCTACTTCAGTGCTATGGCTGTTGTGCAGAGAGCAGTCGAACATCATGTAAACTGGAGAAGTCAGAATATTACTGGTTATTGCATTAACACAAATGTCAACAGGAAACAAAAAAGTGCAAAAGCACAGCAACAAAAATACAGTCATTAATATAGCTGTCTTGTAAGAGTAAACCATAGTAGCATCAGATTTTTTTTTTTTTAACTAAGGTCAAAGGTCACATTGTTTTCAATGTTTGCTCCTTCTGTCTCTTCCCTATAAACACAATCGCTAATTATGACACTCTATCCTCTATTGCCAAAAGAACTGATAGATCCATTTTGGAAGAAGTGTAGCCAAAGTACTCCTTGGAGGACAAGATGGCCAAACTTCGTTTCTCATACTTGAGACATATTGTCAGGAGGGACCAGTCTCTGGAGAAGGATATCATGTTTGGTAAGGTGGAGGGTCAGAGAAAAAGAGGAAGACCCCCAACGAGATGGATTGGCCAAGTTGCACCATCGATGGACTCAAGCATGGCAACAGTAGTGAGGTTGGCCCATGAACGGGTAGTGTTTCATTCTGCTGTGCATAAGGTCGCTGTGGGTCCTTACTGACTTGATGGGACCTAACAACAATAACAACATTCTCTATTTAGGGGATAGATTATCATTATTAGCCATTGTGTTTATATGGAAGAGACAGAAGGAGCGAACAGTGAAAACAATGTGACCTTTGACGTTAGTTCTCTGGTAGTGTAGTGGTTACGAACCAGGCTGCTAACCCGAAGGACGGCAGCTCGAAACTACCAGCAGTTCCATGGGAGAGAGATGAGGCGTTCTGCTCCCGTAAAGATTTGCAGCCTCGGAAACCCTGTGCAGGGTAACAATGAGTCTGAACCAACTCCACGGTACTTAACAACAACAACATCCTCTATTTAATGTTAACAAATTTGGTGATTCTGAATACATCATCATCATCATCATTTGACTAAGTAGACTACTATTATTATTATTGAAAACTCATCAAAGATTTCAAACTATTAATGGTTTCAAAGCAACTAAAAAATCTAATAATGAAATTTTCCTTTTATTAATAAACAGCCACTATACACTAGTGTTTCTATCAATATGTAAATACAGTGTTTAACATGCTGTTATTTTTCTTAAGAGCTGGAATACAGACTTTACAATCTATCTGAAACGTCATCAAATATTGTGACAATGGCATTACCGTACAGCCTTTGTGTGATATTACAGTATTGGCTGGTCACATACAGTGCACTTTTCCAAACTGAACTGTGAATTTCTTAGAAGCTAACATGGTAATAAACTAATGATCTTGGCCTGGTGTATCACATCGTCTTTCATAAAGTTCATAGGCCTTTCTTACTGCCTTTTCCTACATAATCCTGAAGTTCTGAGTGTTCTTTCAGGGGCTGGTCGTATTCTTTGGAAAGTCTCTCTGATTGTATCTTCATTGCCATCACATCATTCTGTGCCTTAGAAAGGCCATTTGAAGTCTTCTTCAATTCAGTCTTCAGTTTTTCCTGTTCTCCTACTATTTTTTCTATTTTCTGCTTTCAACGCATAATGATCTCCTTGTCATAGGTTTTCAATATCCTTTTTAGTTTTTTATTCTCTTCCATGATTTTTTTCTCAGCCACATTTGTATTTTCTGTTTAAGTTTTAAGGGCTCCTTTGGTTGACAGTTCTTTAGCCAGCTGAGTAATGAGAGTAACCAGACGTCTTAACACTAGCAAAAAAAATAATGAAAATCCAGAAATGCAAAGATTTCTTTGAGACCTAAAAAGTTTCATCAGTGTATGTTCATAGGAACTAGGTCTACTGGTTGAGCTCTGCTCAATGCTATGAGCAGAGGAATGTTTTCTTATTTCTCTCACAGCATCTAGAAACAGAACAATTAAAAGGACAATAATAGTAAGGAAAGCTTTGTTCCATAAAGTTGCAATTTTACCCCATACATGAAATGAAAAGCTCTTCTGCCATCTCTGAGGAGGAGTAAAGGGGAGACAGAAGATTAAAATGAGTCCTATATCAGCATACAGAAAGGTTGCAACTGCTACCCACTAGACGGTCATTTTTTTCTTTTCATGTCTGTTCCCTGCCAGACCCGCTACCCACTTCCTTTGATTTTTAACTGTCTTTCCTATCACCAAGTTAGTATGTGTCTATACTCTACCCAGTGAATAATTCTCCCCTCCTTCCCACTCCTGATAACAATGATAGAAAGTTAGAATGAAAACCTTTTCTTGACTTTTTGTAGTAGTGGTCTCATACAATGTCTGTCCCTTTGCAATCAACTAATTTCACTCAGCATAATGTCCTCTGGGTTCCTCCATGTTTTTTGGTGTTGTACAGATTCATCATGTTTGTCTTCAGTGTTGCATAATCTTCAATTGTGTGTGCGAACCAAAGTTTGTTTAGCCATTCCTCTATTGATGGTGTCTAGGCTGCAGTCCTGGTGTGGCGCTGTGGGTTAATGTGCCAGACTGCAAAGCTGTTTGAACTGGAAGGTCGGTGGTTCAAGCTCACCAGCTGCTCCTTGGAAACCCTATACAGGGTTGCTATGGGTCAGAACCGACTTGATGGCACTTAACAATAATAACAACAGGCTGACTCCATCTTTTTGTTATTGTGAATAATGCTGCAGTGAACATGGATGTGCATATAGTTATTCGTGTTATGACTTGAATTTCTTGAGGATATATACCAAATAGAGAGACTGTGAGATCATATAGTGTTTCTATTTTCAACCTTCTGAGAAAGTGCCATACCATTTTCCACTGCAGTTGTAGCATTTTACAGTCCCCCCAGCAGTATAAGAGGGTCTCAGTCTCTCCACACCCTCACCAGCATTTCTTGTTTTCTGTATTTTTGAACTGTGCTATTAATGCTGACATAAGATTATATCATACTGTTGTTTTGATTTGCATCTCTCTAATGGGTCAGAACCCACTTGTAGGCTAACAATAACAACAAAAATGGCTAGTGGTGGTGAGAATTTCTTCATATGTTTGTTGGCTGCCTGAATATCTTCTTTGGTGAAGTGTTTGTTCATATCCTCTGCCCATTTTTTAAATGGATCATTTGTAGTCTTCTTATTGAGGTATTGAAGTGCTCTACAAATTGTAGGCAGTAGTTCCTTGTCTGATATGTCATGGACAAATAAGTTTTCCCGGCCTGTGGGTTCTCTTTTTACTCTATTGGTGAAATTCTTTGATGCACATTAGTGTCTAATTTCTAGGAGGTTCCAGTCCTTTATTTTTTGTCTTCTGCTCTTTGTATGTTTTCAATTATGTTTGATAGTGCATTTATGCCATGAATCAGAGCTCCTAAGTTTGTCCCTATTTTTTTTATTGATGGTTTTTATGACTCTGGGTGTTTAATCCATGTTGAGTTCATATTTGTATATGATATGAGATATGGGTCTTGTTTCGTTCTTCTGCAAATGGATTTCCAGTTTTGCCAACACCATTTGTTGAAGAGACGAACTCTTCCTCATTTAATGTGTTTTTGTTCTTTGTCAAGAATTAACTGAATATAGGTGGATAGATTTATATCTGGGTTCTCAATTCTGTTCTGTTGATCTAAGTGTCTTTTGTTGTACCAGTACCAGGGTGATTTGATTACTGTGGCTGTGTAGGAGGTTTTCAGATCAGGAAGTAAGAGGCCTCCTATTTTGTTCTTTTTTAGTAATACTTTTCTTAACCAGGGTCTCTTTCCTTTCCAAATAAAGCTAGTGATTCATTTTTCCATCTCTTTAAACAATGTGGTTGGAACGTGGATTGGGATTGCATTATATCTATAGATTGTTTTGAGTAGCGTTGATATTTTGCAACGTTAATCTACTTATCCATAAGCAGGGTGTACTTTTCCATTTTTACAGGTCTCTTTTAGTTTCTTGTTGTTATTGTTAAGTTCTGTCGAGTCGGTTCCGACCCATAGCGACCCTGAACAGGGTTTCCGAGGCTGTAAATCTTTACAGGAGCAGAAAGCCTCATCTTTCTCCTGTGGAGCAGCTGGTAGTTTCGAACTGCTGACCTTGCGGTTTGCAGCCTGATTCGTAACCACTATGCTACCAGAGCTCCTTAGTTTCTTATAGTTGTTTTGTGTAGTTTTCTTTGTATAGGCCTTTTGCTTCTTTAGTTAGATTTATTCCTAAGTATTCCATCTTTGGGGTGGCTATTGTAAAAGGTATTGTTTTTCTGATTTCCTTTTCAGAGTTCTTTTGTTAGTATAAAGGAATCCAATGGATTTTTGTGTGTTGGTCTTGTAACCTGCCATTTGGTTGAATCTTTCAATGAGTTCCAAGAATTTTCTTGCCGAAACTTTGGGATTTTCTAAGTATAGGATCATATCATCTGCAAATAGAGAGAGTATTAGTTGTTCTTTGCCAATTTGGATGTATTTAATTTCCCTTTCTTGTCTTAAAGCTCTGGCTATGACTCTCAGCATAATATTGAATTTGTTATTGTTGTTGTTAAGTGCCGTTGAGTAAGTTTTGACCCATAGCAACTCTATATACGGTTTCCAAGGAGTGGCTGGTGAGCTTGAACCACCTACTTTGCAGTTCAAACTGATTTTGCAGTCCAGCACATTAACCCATAGTGCCACACCAGGACTCCATATTGAATAGGAGTCGTAATAAAGGGTCCTCTCTCCATTTTATCAAGATACCCTATGTCTTAGTCCAGGATATAGTTAGACTACGTCGTTAAAGCTAGTTGAACTGGGACCCCTTCTCACAGGAAGGAAAGTAGTTAAGATGGATTCTCACTGAGGGATTAGTTTCTTCTTGCTGCTCCCAACCAGTGTCATTTGCATTTTAAAAGAAATTTCCAAGGAAAGGCCAATCCATGGCCCAAAGAGATGAATCTTTTGTGATATAATTCTAGGCACCAAATAAATAGCTCTCCCTGTAGCCTACGAATCAGTCCATGGACACCTACATGCCCCATGGCTAGAAAGGAATGCCTGCTAGTTCCTTTGACCTAAAGTAAGAACTTGATTTCTGCTTACCCTTGTGCCCACAGTGTTTCTGGAGGGGAGCTCTTTGACCGGATCCTGGAGCGGGGTGTTTACACAGAGAAGGATGCCAGCCTGGTGATCCAGCAGGTCTTGTCAGCAGTGAAATACCTCCATGAGAACGGCATTGTGCACAGAGACTTAAAGGTGCCCAAATAGGACTCCTCTGGTGGAAATCCATGATAGGCCTGCAAAATGAGATTGGTGAACTAGCTGATTCCCAAGACCCCTTCCCCTCAGATTCCTTAAACAATTCTTGGATGATTGAAAAATCATTAAAGTAGTTTTCACATATACACATATAACACACATAGTGTGCATAGAAAACTAACACACAAGGTGGTTTATGGTTTGTAGAAACCACATAATACAAGTTGTTGTTGTTGTTGTTAAGTGTTCATTTGTACCTCAATCTTTCCTTAGTCATGCCACATACAACTGTTGTTGTTAAGTACCGTGGAGTCGGTTCCAACTCATAGTGATCCTGTACAGGGTTTCTGAGGCTGTAAATCTTTATGGGAGCAGAATGCCTCATCTTTCTCCTGCGGAATCGCTAGTAGTTTTGAACTGCTAACCTTGAGGTTGGCAGCCCGACTCATAACCACTATGCTACCAGAGCTCCTTACATACAATTGTTGTTGTTAAGTGCCATCGAGTCACTTCCAACCCATAGTAACCCTGTATAGTGTTTCCAAGGAGTACCTGGTGAGCTTGAACCACCGACCTTGCAGTTCAAACAACTTTGCAGTCTGGCGCATTAGCCCACAGTGCCACACCAGTATTCCTACATCCAGTTGTTGTCGTTGTTGTTGTTATGTGTCATGGAGTAGGTTCCGACTCATAGCGACCCTGCACACGATGTCCGAGGCTGTAAATCTTTACGGGAGCAGAAAGCCTCATCTTTCTCCTGTGGTTTCGAACTGCTGACCTTGCGGTTCACGGCCCAATTCGTAACCACTACGCTACCAGAGCTCCTTTACATACAATTAGGTTACCAAAAAATATCCACATATTTATTGTACTCAGCCACAATCAAAAGGGCTAATGTGCTGGACTGCAAGTTGTTTGAACTGCAAGGTCGGCGGTTCATGCTCACCAGCCACTCCTTGGAAATCCTATACAGGGTCGCTATGGGTTGGAACCAACTCGATGACACTTAACAAACAGCTGCTTATTGCAGCAGGAATTACACTAAATTTTGGAGAGATCCCAGATAGTTAAGCAAGTGTTGTTATTGTTACTGAGCGTTGTCAAGTCAATGCAACTCAAAGCGACAACATATGGCAGAGTAAAATCACCCCATAGGGTTTTCTTGGCTGTAATCTTTACAGAAGCAGATGGCCAGATCTTGTTCCCATGGAACTACTGAGAGAGAATGCGACCTTTAGGTTTGCATTCAAGCTTTTAACCATTGTACCACCAGGGCTCCTTAAGCAAGTGTTATTTCCTTCAGAAAAACTAACTGTCCCAGGGTACTTGGGGGTGAAGGGAAAGAAGGGTTGGGAATGAAATGAGATAGGACATAAATCACTATAAAGTGATGCAAAGTCAGGTTGGGTTGCAGATGGGAGGAAGGAGGAATGAAGGAAAGAAAGAAGAATCTGGCCTTGAAGTCAGAAACCTAGGCTCAGCATCCTGGAAAATCGTAGCACAGCAGAAGGAAGCAGATGTGTGTTTCAATCCTGCTCTGCATGAAATTTCTCTTCTATGACAGCCTGAAAACCTGCTGTACCTCACCCCCGAGGAGAATTCTAAGATTATGATCACAGACTTTGGTCTGTCCAAGATGGAACAAAGTGGCGTCATGTCCACTGCCTGTGGGACCCCAGGCTATGTGGGTGAGTCTGACAGCAAGAGAGAGGTTGACCAGTTGGCCACATGCAACCACTTAGATGTTACTCAATCACAGACAGGAATCTGCTGTTTCCCACAAAGAGAGATCAGTCACTCACCAGCAGATATTGGGTTCCACTGGGGTACAAAGTTCTGCTCTTTGGGATAAATACAGAAAGCAGTTCTCTACCACCTGGGACATCCAATCTAATGAGGAATGCTTGGCTATGGGGTCAGAGTTAGACTAGCTTAGTCAGTCTGAAGGGGCAGACTAAGTCCCCCCTCAGAAAATATCCATAGTCTATTGGGCAGGCATATACCCTGCTTTCTAGAACCTTCTAACCTAAACAGGAGACTCAACTTCTGCCTTGAAGGAACTCCCAGTTTAGTGGGAAAGAGACACTCTGACCCTGGCGATGCAGACAGCCCCTACCCTGAGAAGGGAGACATCAATCCTGCCTCCAGAGACTATCCATTCTGATAGGAGAGTCATTGTCCTAGATATGAGGACCTCTGAGTCTGATGGAAAAACCATAGCATCTCTTCTGATGGAGGAGATCCAACCCTTTGCCTCAGGGAGCTTTCATTCTTACAGGAACAATACCATCTCATAGACTGCTCAACTCCTCTTCTTTAAGTCTCTGTTTGACCTTCAGTCCCTTCCCACAGTCCTCTCCTCTTGCCCCCAACCATGACACTGCCTTTGATTTGCTGCAGCTCCGGAAGTGTTGGCTCAGAAGCCCTACAGCAAAGCTGTGGATTGCTGGTCCATTGGCGTCATCACCTACATACTGTGAGTAGAAGCATCAGCTCAGTTCCATAGACATCGCAGAGTCTGCCCACCCCTTTTGCTCCCCTTCCATCTCAGCACCTCAAGTAGCATCCACCTCCAAAGCATGTGGTGCGTATGTCTGTCCTCCCTGATCCGAGCTGAGTGTGAGCCCACTCTTCAGGGACCTGGCACTCCTCTTCTGTATCCTCACCCACACTTGCTGTACATGAATGTGTCGTGTCCCGCTCTGTGGATGGACAGTGACAAAGACAGAGACCAAGCCAGACTCAGAAGCCAGGTGGATCTATGCTCCAACATCTCAGCTTCCTTTTTGGTGACATGAGCATAAGGCAAAACAATGGCCCTCATGAAGTCTGCCAGGCCAGTCTGCATGTTTTCAGCCTCTCCCTTTCCCAACTCGTCCATCCCTCTTCCCTGCTAATTGCTATGAGAAAAATACCTGCTATTTGCCTCATAGTGTGGGCTCAGCTCTCAATTTCCTCAATCTATGTTCAGTAATGATTCTCATCCATTCATTCATTTTTTCCCCCAAAATAATATCCATTCACTCTCTATTTTGCCCATCATTGTGCTAGGTGCTAATGAATACAGCAGTGAACAGAACAGACTAAAACAAAACCCCTGCCTTCATTAAATTCTATGCAAGGGGATAGTCTACTATGTCTCTTAAAGATATTTTATATATCAGCTAAGAGCCAGGGGCACTACAGGAAGGTTGGGGAGTAGGGGTCTTCCAGGACTGTCTGTCCCAGGTCCTAGCTTCTGTATAAGCCCTTTCTGGGGCCTGTGACATTCCTGCCTGAGAGTCAGATTCATCTCCTGGCCACACCACTGGTCTGGGACCTTCACTGCCTGCATACACTTTGAGAATCTAGGAGGAAGAGTGAGATAGATTCAGGTAGGGCAGGATGATTCACCAGCACTTTTCATTCCTTTTCCACTGCAGGCTGTGTGGGTATCCCCCATTCTACGAAGAAACAGAGTCTAAGCTTTTTGAGAAAATCAAGGAGGGCTATTATGAATTTGAATCTCCATTCTGGGATGACATTTCTGAGTCAGGTAAGCCCAGTGGGTGTCAAGGACAAGATAATAGGCTCAAGGCAGGGGCTGCAAGGAAAGAGAGCTTAAGAAAGGCTGACAGGCCTAGCGCCTGAGAGTCACTGGGGATTTTATAGAGCGGGCTGCCAAGACAAGTGGAAAAATCTCCATCTGGGTCAAAGTCCAGGTAAATCATTTGTGTCTAATGATCATGCTTTTGCTTTCCTGGAGGCAGAATGACAGGATGTCTGATAAAAGGGCAGGGAGGCAGTTTAGATGGGAGTCTGAATGGTAAAACCAGGCAGAGAAGAATACTCCAGGTAGAACTGGCAAAACCAAGGGGTTAGATGCCAAACTTCAAGAGCATGCATTGTGCATGCGTGGGAGAAGTAATACCATGCACGAAGGTGTGCTGGGCTCGTTATGTGGAGAGCAGAGTTGCAAGAAGCCAGCCTCACATGTGCACCCATGTGCCAGTGCTGGGCCCCATCTCTGAGTAAATGCGTGCACATGGGTGATATGTGGCACATGGGTGCCTCGTGCCGTGTGGGTGAAGGCAACGGCTTAGAGCCTCTTTCTTTGGTGGCTTACAGTGGGTTGTTGTTAGGTGGTTTGGATTTTTTTCTCTCTCCCTTTAAAGACACCTAAAATTGCTTCCTTGAAAAATTAGCTAGAGATGTATTTATTCACTGCCACCCACCAGCCCTGAAGTGAATTTTCATCAGTTTTGAAAGTTGGTCTTTAGTTGGTATGCATTTGATTGTTTCCCTTAGCCAAAGATTTCATTTGCCACTTGCTGGAGAAGGATCCAAGTGAGCGGTACACTTGTGAAAAAGCCTTGAGGCATCCCTGGTGAGTGATCAACGGGGGAAACTCAAACCCTAACGGCTACTGCCCCAAACTTTGCTGATTTAACACTGTGGTCCCCAGACTCTGCTTGTCCTGAGCTGTTTATTATTGTGGCATCTTTGGAGCATGCAAGTGTTCAACAAGTTTAGGTGGAGATTCAAGCAATAGTTTTCAATCTGGAGATTGAGCAGCTTCTCAGCTGAGTTGTCCAATCAAGCACAGAAGGATGCAGTCTGTAGAACTATGCACTGTCCTCACAGGTACGATTATCTGTGCTAGTTACTCAGGAACAAGTGACTTTGCCCTTCTCTTACCAAAAAGCCAATCACATTGCTGTCAAGTCGATTCCAAATTATAGCAACCTTACAGGACCAAGTAGAACTGCCCCTTACAGTTTACAAACATCTTTCTCCCTTGGAACAGCTGGTGGGTTGGAACTGTCCACCTTTCAAGTTAATAGTCAAGCACTTAACTATTGCACCACCAGGGCTCCTTGGCCCTCTCCTTATGAGCTTCATCTTACTCCAGGATCAAATCCTGTACACGTGACTTAAAAACAATCATGAAGCATCCAATATATAAAGCTTCCCACTTTCTATCACAAGCCTAGGTTCCTTTATCTTTCCAGGTTTTTCTAAATCTGGACCTCATACTTTATCTCCAACCTCAATTTCCAAGAGAAAGACCTAAGAGCTATGCTTCACTCCCTGCCTCCCCTCCTCCACATACCAAACTCTTTCCCTCACCATTTTCACCACGTAGACTATCCTGTCTCTTGCCCTGTTGCTAACATCCTTTAGCATCCAGATCAGTCTCTGCCCCTTCCCTTAGTCTCTCCTCACCCCCATGTTTTTATAAACCCAAATCCCACTGCTATCGAATAGATTCCGACTCATAGCAACCTTTCAGAGATTGTAAACCCTTACCGTAGCATCTTTCTCCCACAGAGCAGCGAGTGAGTTTGCACTGCAGACCTTTATGTCAGTAGCCCAGCATTTAACCCACAACAACCTAGGGCTGCTTCCAAATTCCTATAGCTCGCTTTATTCAGTACCCAGCTGCCATGAATTGCTCTTGTTTGTGGGAAGAAACAATTCCACGTCTTGACTGTAAACTCCCTGGGAGCTTCTCTGGACCCCTTAGTAGCTAGTCCAGTGCTGGGCACAAGGCACACTGCTGAGGAACACTCAGAGATGAGTGAATAAGAAGGGGCTAAGGAGACAGGGAGTCTTGATAACACAACAGTTAAACACTCTGCTGCTAACCAAAAGGTTGGTGGTTCAAATCCATGCAGCCACTTCGCTGGAGAAAGACCTAGCAATCTGCTCCTATAAAGATTGCAGCCTCATGGCACCTAACAACAACAAAGGGAAGAGGGAGCATGCTGCCACTGTCAAAGGGTCTGACTGAGGAAGGCTTCCAGGAGGAGGTGGGTTCCCAGTCAGGTTTCGAGCTAAAGGATAGTGACAACCCAACTGCTCTCTAGAGCAGGGTTGGTAAACTTTTCTGTAACGGACCAGAGTAAATACTTCAGGTTTTGGTGAGCATGGAGTCTCTATCTCAACTACTCAGCTCTGTTGTGGTTAGTACAAGAGCAGCCACACACAACTCGGGAATGAATGGGCAAGGCTGATTTCCAATGGCACCGTTATTTGCCACACCTGTTCTAAAGCAGGTTGTTAGGTTTGCCAAAGCATAAGCCTGCTATGTATGACTTGCCCAAGGGGACAGAGGAGACCTGAATCCAGCCCTTTCCTGCTTTCACCTGGACCTGTATGTACCCCTGGTTGCATTTTCATGGTGGTGGTGATTATGTGCCGTGGAGTCTGTTCTGACTCATAGCGACCCTGTACAGGCTTTCCAAGGCTGTAAATCTTTACGGGAGCAGAAAGCCTCATCCTTCTCCCATGGAACAGCTGGTAGTTTTGAACTGCTGATCTTAAGGTTCGCAACCCGATTCGTAACCACTATGCTACCAGAGCCACCCATTAATCCAGATGCCTCCGCCTGCCTCCACAGGATTGATGGAAACACTGCCCTCCACTGGGATATCTATCCATCAGTCAGCCTCCAGATACAGAAGAACTTTGCCAAGAGCAAGTGGAAGGTGAGTGGTCCTCTCCAGGGGCTGGCATAGTACTGCTCTGTGGATGAGACCCCAGAAGATACTGGTGTTCCCTGAATCCTCCCTGGAATAAAAAGAGGGCAGACTAATTTCAAAAGGCCACAGGGCAAATGGAAAGATGGAGCCCTGGAGCCCTTGGAGGATGGAGTAGGCAAGAGTTTGGTGTTGTGTTTTCTTAGCAAGCCTTCAATGCCGCGGCTGTGGTGCACCACATGAGGAAGCTACACATGAACCTGCACAGCCCAGGGACCTGCCCAGAGGTAGAGAACAGGCCACCTGTCACTCCAGTCTTGGAAGCCTCCAGGTCCAGCTCCCCTGAGATCACCATTACTGAGGCACCTGCCCTGGATCAGAGTGTGGCACTCCCGCCCCTGCCTCGGCTGCCCTGCCAGCATGCTCCCTGTCCCACTGTCACTGGGGGCAGGTCATTCAACTGTCTGATCAACGGCTCCTTGCGCATCAGCAGCAGCCTCGTGCCCATGCAGCAAGGACCTCTGGCTGTGGGACCCTGTGGCTGCTGCTCCAGCTGTCTGGGCATCGGGAGCAAAGGGAGGTCCTCCTACTGCTCTGAGCCCACGCTCCTCAGAAAGGCCAACAAAAAACAGTATGTATTTTTCAGACCCAGCAGGAAGCCCAACCCTGTTCAGGCTGGGCCTAAAAGAGCTCAGGCAACTAGAAAGACAAAAAGGGCAAAAGGCCCTCTCCCACTCAGAGAGCTCTGCCCCAGAGAACAAGGGGGCATGCCCCAGCCCTGTCTCTACCACTTCTGAGCCAGTGAAAGGCTATCTCTAGTCTGCTCACCTGTAAAACAGGTTGGTCATCTTTCATTTGCCTGCTCAGCCAGTTGCACAGAGGCGAAGCAGAAGCAACCGAGGTGATTCACGCCCATAGAAAATTCTATAGTGTTTGATGTGAGTGGTGAGCGTGACATTCCCTAGGTTTTATGGGAACCCTGTGTTCTGGAGGCCAAGAGGGGGTGCTTGGTTGTCTTGTCTGCAGGGTTTTATACTTTCTGAACCTCATCAAGGCACAGGCAGCTACTATCCCCAACCCCCAACCCGGGTCTGCTTCCTTCTTCAAATGCATCCATGTCTACTTTATCTCTTTTCCAGACATTTCAAATCAGAGGTCATGGTGCCAGTGAGAACCAGCGGCAGCTCCCACTGTCGGGCAGGGCAGACTGGGGTCTGTCTCATTATGTGATCCCTGGAGACCCAGCCGTGTCACTGCAATTTTCAGGTGAGGGAACTAGAAAGAAGGGAGTCAGGGCAAGGGGGAAGTTTGAGGAGAATGTCTGTCCCAGAACAACCCCATCCCAGGATTTAAATGATGGGGTTTCAGACAGCCAGCAAGAGCCCTGGTGGTAAAATGGATTAAGCACTGAGATGCTAACCACAAAACCAGTGGTTCAAACCCACCAGTTGCTCCTCGGGTAAAAGATATGGCATCAACTCCTATAAAGATTTACAGCTTTGAAACCCCTGTGGAGCAGCGCTACCTGGTCCTGTAGGGTGACTGTCAGTTGGGATTGACTTGATGACAGTGGGGGCTTTGAGGGGTGGGAGAGAGCAGCCCTGTCCTCACTTTGCATCCCTTTCCTTTGTAGGAGAGATTTGACTCTTCTCTGCTCTTCCCACCCTGGCATCTGCCCTGCGGAGGGAGGAAGGGGGAGCAAGCGGAGCAGGGCCTGGCAGGAATGTTTTCTGGTCAGAATTCTAGACTGCAGTCATCATATAGGCAGACTCTCAGAGGTGTCCCCGGAGTGAACCCCAAGGTGTGAGGCCTCGTGGAAGCCATGGGCAGGAGGAGTGGCATCCTTGGCCCCCAGGTCTCCCTGACCTGCCTGCTCTATGCCCTAACCTTACGTGCTGTGGCTCTGTGCCGTGTGCCTAGATAGCTCTTGCCGGGTCTGTGTCATTTGTTGTGAAAAGCTTACTGGGCTGGCCCAGCTGTCACCTCTTTCCAGCAAAGCCATATGGAGCATCATCCCAGCTCCCCGCTCTGTACACGCTTGACCTGCCTCTGTGGCCTCATCCTCATAGCCATTATGGGCTCGGTGACGTAGCTGTATACATTGGCCATCTGCATGAACACTGGCAGCTCCTGGGTCTGCCGGCAAGTTCTCCAAGTTCTCATCCCACCCACTGTGACACCAGGCAGCCTGACCCAGCCCTGGCACATTCAGCACCACCGGACCCACCTCTGGTCCCAATCTAAACGCAATCCCGCAGCCTCCAAGGTGAAGCAGAAAGAATTCCATGCCGAGGTACTGTAAGGAATTATCTCCTAGCCTGACATCCTTCATGCACATCCAACTGAGTACAAAATCACAAGGTGATGATTTTCAGTCAGTAACTCCAATCCTGCCTCTGCTCCTGACTCTCCCTCAAGTCTGGTACATCGTTCTCGTTCCTTCCCAGCATCCTTAGCCCTCCTTCCCACCAGCTTCATGGCTCAACATTGTGCTTAATAAAATGGACATATTTTTTTCAATGAGGTTTCATCTGGTTCTTTCCAAAGTCAGAAACAGTTCAAGGACTTGGGAATCTGAGTGAAGTATTGCAAAGTACATGCGAGTTTGAGGTCAGGTAGAAAAGGAGGTCAGCAATCACAGCTGATTTAAGTGTTGGGAGCTTAAAGTGTATGCTGGTAAATAGTACATTTATGGTAGGATCAGCACTGGACTGTGAACCACAAGGTCAGTAGTTCAAGCCTACAAGCTTCTCCTCAGAAATCCTACAAAGGGTCGCTAAGAGTCAGAACCAATATGATGGCTCTTAACAACGAGTACATCCATAACATGAGTTACATATTTTAACTCATTTGCTCCTCACAGCAACTTCTTAGGGAAAGGTTCCGTTGCAGGCCAGACCATGTGACTCCAGCATCCATTTGTTTGGTGAATGTCCTAGATGTCAATCAAGGCTCAGCTGTGCCCTGCCCTGCCAGATCTGTGACCTGGGCTGAGTTACTTTACATTTTATGCCTTGGTTTCCTCACTTGTCAAATGGGAACCACAGAGCCACCTATTGCATAACATGGCATAGGTGGTGAGCTTAACACAGTGTTCAGTAAATAATTCATATCATTAATATTGGTAAAGAAGTGAATATCGTGAAAATGTCAAGCATAGTGTGTGGGACATGGTCAACACACAATTTTCTTGTCATTTCCGTATCTTCCCACCTCCACTCTTGAACTTAGCTTTGAGTTCCCAGTAAGACAGAGTTGCGTCTTAGTCCAGCCTCCAAGGAGCTGTGTGAATCTGGACACAGTTTCTGTAGAATCTACCCTCATCTGTAAATGAGAAAGAAGTTGGATCGATGTTCAGAGGTGGAAACTATTCCTCTTGTCTGTCAAGGATCAAATCCATCAAGTCCTAGGGAAAAGGGGTTCGTCTCAAAGCCAACCCAAATGTGGGTGATGGGCAAATTTGACTAAGTAGAGTAGGCAGCCTATGCTTCATATACTCAGCTCAAACAAAGGAGGAACCCAGTAACACTGGTGAACACAAAACCATGAACAAAGGGTTACTTATAGGAGACAGAGAACATTTCAAAGATTTTTATATGACTTTTCATTTGTACATCATTTTGTGGTTATGTCTTTGTGTTGGTCCAAAATTAAGCCTCAAAGAAGGAAGAATGGAGGTGTAAGAACTCTGCCTAAGCCAGAGCTCTCCCCTGAGGTCTTCTTCTCACAATGGCAGAGCTGCCTCCATCCCCGTCCCTCAGTGACATTGTCCCATCCTTTCAGGCTCAGCTGCAGCCCAGGGATAACCCAGACTGGGCTTTAGGCTGAAGAAAACGTCTCATGGAGCTGGAAAGCATTCCAACCCAATTTGCACTGCAAAAACAAAGGGGGCAGATAATGGGGCCAGGGACTGGGAGCAGAGCATCATTTGCAGGTGGCGTAATAGAGCACACGCCCATTGATGTGATCTCGGATCTGCTCCACATGCTTCTCCAACCCAGTCAGGTCCGCAGAGCGAAGGATGATGGTCTGGCTCCCCCGAAGCAGCTCCGACTCCATGTCTATGCACAGATGGAACAGTAGGGTTGGAGGGGGAGCTGGTGAGATAACTAACGACACCCAGCCCTTCCGTCTTCTCCCTCCTCGAGGCTGCTTGTGCAAGAGAAATCATCTGTGGAGCAGTCTCCCTGCAAGCTAATGACTGGGACTATATGCAAACAATTTCTCCGCACCCTATGTCTCCCCTCTAGCCCAGTCCAATTCTTAGAAAAATTCAGTAAAAAGCAGACCCATGAAGCTCTAAATCTCAGTTATTCCTTTGTTCTCAGTGCTCTGGGTTCTCTCAGTTGTTCCAGACTGAGAGCATAGCCACCTAGATTAGCAGAACAGCAGCTGCCACCCCTTCCAATGGTCTCCAGTTGGACACCATGGCCAAAGAACTGGCCAGTGACCAGAATTCCTCCTGATTTCCTCTCCCCAAAATGCCACTCCAGATAAATCTTGTCTTCCTCTGCAAGCATACCATCACTAAATGATGCCTGGATGTGAAGGACTCTACAGGAGCTCCGGTAGAGTAGTGGTTACGAATCAGGCTGCTAACCTCAAAGTCAGCAGTTCGATACTACGAGCCATTCCATGGGAGAAAGATGAGGCTTTCTGCTCCCGTAAAGATTTACAGTCTTGGAAACCCTGTAGAGAGTCTCTATGAGTCAGAACTGACCCCACGGTACTTAACAACAACAATAAAGTGAGCTCTGGTAGCAAGCATAGTGGTTATGAGTCTGGCTGCTAAATTCCAAGTCAGCAGTTCAAAACTACCAACTGTTCTGTGGGAGAAGGATATGGTTTGCTGCTCCTGTAGAGATTTACAGCCTCAGATTTACACCCTGTGCAAATGCTGCCCTTGAATGTGCCGTGGAGGGCCCACAGCTGCACTCCACTTTTTATTCTGGAGTCCTGGTGTGGCGCTGTGGGTTAATGCGCTGGACTGCCAAGTTGGTTTGAATTGCAAGGTTGGTGGTTCAAGCTCACCAGAAACCCTACACAGGGTCACTATGGATCAGAAGTGACTCAACAGCACTTAACAACAACAAAGTGACCTAGTCCAGCCTGTTCCTCCTGTTGCTCAAGGCAAGTGTCCCCTATTCCGCACCCCTGAGAGCTGCAAAACTGCCTCAGTCTGGACACAGAAGTAGGAAGCAGGCATACTGCTTCATGAGTCTCCAACTCTAGGCAGCTCTGGTAGCGTTATGAATCGGGCTGTGAACCGCAAGGTCAGCAGTTCGAACCTACCAGCTGTTCCGTGGGAGAAAGATGAGGCTTTCTGCTCCCGTAAAGATTTACAGCCTCGGAAACCCTGTACAGGGTCGCTATGAATCAGAACCATGGCACATAACAACAACAACACAGTTATTTAAAGAAGTCCTAGTGTGGCGTTGTGGGTTAATGTGCTAGACTACCGAGTGGATTTGAACAGCAAGGTTGGTGGTTCAAGCTCACCAGTCACTCCTTGGAAACTCTATGGGTCAGAACTGACTTGACAGCACTTAACAACAACAACAACAGTCTTTTTTTTCAGTAAGCCAAAATCTGACCACTTCCCTGTTTCCACCCAATTGTCTGGTTTCCAGAGGCACAGGACTGTATCTGTTCTGTTTCCCATATGGCAGCCCTTCATATATCTGAGGCTTTATCTTATCCACGTTAAACAGCTCTGGTTCTTTCACCCAGTTATCATCAAATATTATTGTTGGGTTCCTCCCTCCCTCTTCCCCCAGCAACTCTCCCCTGCAGGCCTGTCATTGTATGAAGACACAGTGGCCACCACTTGAACACCATCCTCCAGGGGAGAATCTATTAGCAGAGTGTAAAAGAGTGTCCATAAAGAGAATGTGGACAGGGGAAAGTAGAATCCCCACTGAATAGTTCTCATCTTGTCTAGATGGGTCTGGTGAAAAGAGATAGGGATAAGAGTCTTATGATTCAAGAGTGAGTAATTGTAATCATGACTAATTGCGACTGTCACAACTGTAAAGGTAGAAGTGTTGTAACAAAAAGCGGGGAGTAGTTAATCATACAGTCCAGGAACAGAGGGCGCTAGGACCATTAAGGGAGAAGAGCACTAGTGGAATATGGGACCCTATCCAGAGAAGCAGTGACACCAGAGATGGAGGCAGAGATGGGGATATGGAGAGAGGGAGCAGCTGAGGACTCATGGAAAGAGAGGGACTGAGTGTTGGTGGCCAGGAGGCAGACTTGCAGAATGTGCTCTTTGGTGGTTTAAATTATTATATATGCCTGAGTGTTTTTGTGTACATCAAAAAACAGAGGGAATAGAAGCAAATACTGTTGAATGATGATGCATGGAGGGGATTGGGGATTGTAATCATTGCAATCAAACAATGGTGTAAAACCGATGTTCTCCCATGTAATTATCACTCAACTTACAATAAAAACTTTAAAAGAAAATCCTGTGGATATCTATACAGACCTCTGGGCTGGTAAAATGGCTGCTGTCTTCTACCTCCAACCTAAGGTGCCACCATGCCCATGGGTCTACTCCACAGTTAAAGGTAAATGCATGCAAGCAGGTAAGTGCCTGTTCCCATGCTACAGCCCGAGCCTTTGGCAGGTGTTAACCCATGTGGGTTGTTAAATATTTTTTATATTATCCCTGAGCTGTTCCTTGTTTCATTTTGACTGCTTTGTGTTTGTTAGCTCTTTTGGCAATAGCAAGACACTGCTGGCTAATAACCAGCTTGTAGTTACGTGAAACTCTTGGGTCTTATTCAGGTGAGTAACTACTTGTATTTACCAGTTACGAAGTGTTTAAAGCAGCATTAGCTACTGAGAGGTTGGGCCTCATGCCTGAACTGTACTTATAAATTTAGAGCCAGGCAAGGCCAGTGTGGAAGTTAACTTTTTTGTTCATATTTAATTTCATCCTTGAGTCCTGGTATGTATGGCATTATTGAATAAGCACTGGACTGCCAAACCACAAGGTCAGTGGTTCAAATCCTCTAGTCGCGCCTTGAAAACCCTTATAGAGGGTTGCAATGAGTCAGAACCTACTTGATGGTACATATCAAAAACAACAACAATTTCATCCTATTTGGTTCTGGACTTCCTTTCAGCCTTTTGAGTTTGCCTTAGAACCCTAGGTCTGCTATATAATCAATTAACTATGTGTCACCCCAAAACTTGACAAGTACATTCTTTATGTCTATGCAAATGGATGGAGACAAGGTCAGGACAAGCAGAGACCCAGCCATGGGCTTCCTCCCTTGAAGTTGGCACCTCTGGCCTTGACCTTCAATGTAGTCAGCCAGTCTCTCTCATATCTGCTCAACCAGCCAACCCAACCTTTCCCATGGTGCCCATATGGATAACAAAAAGAGATTTTGTCAACAGTTTTAACTGAAATTCAGACTGCCCTGGTAGCACTGAGGGTTAGGCATCAGACAACTAACCACAAAGTTGGTGGTTCAAAACACTAATGCTCCTCGATAGAAACATGAGGTTGTCAACTCCCGTAAAGATTTACAGTCTCCGAAACTCTAAATACTTAGGATTTCTATGAGCCAGAATTGACTTGGTGGCAGGCAGCAAATCTGCTTTGCTTACGGTAGCATTCAATAGGCACACCAGTGCAGTGACCTCCATCATCACATCTAGAGAAGTGACTCCGATTCCTGGAAATCCCTGTTCCCCATTCTGAAGTACCTCAGTATCCTTTCAAGCACAGGATTCAAAAGCCTTCAGGGGTTTCCCTCACTGCATCTAAAATGATGTCTGCTCTTCCCCAGACACTGGAGCCAGCCATGGTGATGCAGGTCGCTTAGCTCCACCAGTCCTCATCATTACCCATCCTGGGTGTGGGTCCTGGCCCCATCCTCAGAACACGCCTTGCTCCTTTCCACCCACCCTAGGCTTCCTGTTCTTCCTCTTCCTCTCAGTCACTCCTAGGTCTGTACCTCCTTCAAGGCCCACCTCTAATCTGACCTCTGCAGAACATTCCCTCACTGAACATTCTCCTTGGAAATGATTTATCCTCTGAACCCCTCGAGCTCTTAATACTCAGGCCCCTATCTCAGACCACCGTGTGCTATGGAGTACAGTTTCTTGTGTCCTACAGGAGGTGGGGAAAGGACCCCACCTGGATTGTAAGCTTCTTGAGGGCAAGGTCAGGTCTTGGTCTGGGAACATCTCTGCCTTCCCACAGCCCCTCATTTGCCCTCATATTTATTAGGTGATCAGTAAATCCTGACTGATCGCACTCATTCCACAAGTAGATGTCAAAAGCTCTGGGCAGGGACCAGCCTTCAGGGACGCTGTGTGGAGCCCTTGGACCACCCCTCACCTTTCATCCTGTCCATCATCTCCATGGTCTCCTCAAACAGCTCCTCAGCCTCCGTCTTGACGCTCAGTATCCGACTGCCCTGCTCCCCCAGCATGGGGCTCTGGCCCAACCGGTCCTTCAGCTCTGCATACTTTTGCTTTACTCTCTCAAATCCCTGGAAAGGTAGAAAGGTTTCAGTGCTACCATTGTTATTGTTGTAAAGTGCCACCATCGAGTTGGTTCCAACCCATAGCGACCCTGTATAGGGTTTCCGAGTAGCAGCTGGTGAGCTTGAACCACCGACCTTGCAGTTCAAACAGCTTTGCGTCTGGTGCGTGAACCCACAGCGCCACACCAGGAAACCATTAGCAGCATTCAAAGTCCTGAAGACGTGGTGAAAGCACTTGATATCACCCAAACTAACACACATGATTATGTGGCACTCTAGGATCAGCCCTGGACTGCAAACCACAAAGTTGGCAGTTCAAACCCACCAGCTAGTCACTCCTCGAAAACTCTACCTACAAAAAGATTTAAAGCCCTGGAAACGCAGAACAGGGTGGCTATGAGTCAACACCAACTCCACGGCACTTAACAACTTTATACCCAGTGGCATAGTAAGTTATGTGTTGGGTTACTCACTGCAAAGTCAGCAGTTCAAATCTACCAGTTGCTCTATGGGAGAAAGAGTAGGTTTTCTGCTGCTGTAAAGATTTACAAACTCAGAAACCTTCCATAGACAGGGTCATTATGAGTCAGAATCAACTCAATGGCAGTGGGTTTTTTGTTTTGAAAATTATGCCCCAATGGAGTCCTTGGGTGTTGCAAATGGTTAAGCTCTCTGCTGCTAACCAGAAGGTTGAATGTTTAAATCCCCCTAGAAAAGTCTGGTGATCTACGTCCAAAATCTCAGCTACTGAAAAGCCTGTGGAACAGGGTTCTTCTCTCCACAGGAGGCCATCATGAGACGAGGCCAATTCCATGGTAACTGCTTATTACACCCTAGTAAGTTTGTTTCCCCTATAAAACCTCTACCCATAGACTATGGCTTCAACTTCTTCAGTATTCCCTCCTCCTACCTCTACCTCCTGCCTTTTTACCCACTTTACCTCCAGCACAATGCCAGGCACAGAGTTACATACTGTTGGTTGTTGTTGTTAAGTGCCGTCAAGTTGGTTCCAACCCATAGTGACCCTGTATAGGTTTTCTGAGGAGCAACTGGTAAGCTTGAACCACCAACTTTGCAGTTCAAATGGCTTTGCAGTCTGGCGCATTAACCCACAGCACCACACCAGGACTCCTAGTTACATACTGTTGTTGTTGTTAAGTGCCACTGAGACGGTTCTGACCCATAGCGACCCTCTAGAGGGTTTCCAAGGAGCAACTGGTGAGCTTGAACCACCAACCTTGCAGTTCAAACTGACTTTGCAGTCTAGCGGATTAACCCACAGCGCTACACCAGGACTCCAGTTACATACTATTCAGTAATATATACTGGTCAGCACGTCCACTGTATGGATCTACAAGGGCTAAGGCTCCAGGCCCTGGAGAAAATCAATGGTATACCTAAGTCATAGATAATGGCTCCTTAATCTTCTCACTGGTCTCATTCAGACAGTGATGAGGCCCTCATTAGGTTAAGTCAAGAGTGTGTGTCTGGGCTTGGGGGCCAAGACAGGACCCAATATAATGAAGCAAGCTCTGAACTAGATGTCCAGAGATCAGCTCATAGATGAGCTTTGGACCTCTGGACAAGTTACCGCCTCATCTGTCAAACAGGGACTGGTCCAGATTGTCTGCAACATCCGGAACATCCCCAAAGGCAGCCAGGGGAAACAGTCAGAAGTTAGTCAGGCTTGGGCTATTCCTCAAGTGCCTTCTTGTTCCGTTCTAGCTGCTTTTGAGGCAGCGGTGTTATCGAGTGTATACAGTCCTCTCCTGCTCAGTGCCCTCTCACTGACGTGCTTTCTCTGGCACTGCCCATAACTCCACCATGTCCTATACCTCCTGGGCACTCAGTGCCTGCTTGCTGGCACCCTCGGCGAGCTGCTGGGCCTGGGCCACCTGGTCCTGCTGCTGCCCAGCCAGGCGACGGAGCTCCTCCAGCCGTGTCTGGAAGCCACTCAGCTGTTTCATCATGCCTGTCACCAGCCTTTCCGTTGGTCCCAGTACCTGCTGGACCTATGAAGAAAGAGGGAAGAGAACTGGGTTTGTGGTGGGTCTTACAGAGAGTGGCCTTCAATTCCACATTTCCTCCTCTATCACTAGGCAGCAAAGTTCTTTCCAAGCTGGAAACCACGGACTGTCCCCCACCAATTCTCTGTCCATCTGCCCCATTGACATCTAGACCTCATCCTCCTCCCATTCAGCTGACCCCATCCCCTCGGGGGCTCCTGCTTCCTGGCCGTAAGACAAGGAAATCAAAGGCTTCAAGTCAGGCTTATAACACTCCTTGTTTAAGCTTCCAGTTCAGTGTCCGACAGAGTCTCTTTCCGGCATATTTTATGCCCAGTTCCTGTGTCTGGCTGTTCAATCCCCAGAGAAAGGGTAAGTGGGGACAATGGAGAAGGAAGCCGCCTTGCCTCACCTCAGCAACCCTCTCCTGGATCAGCCGGAGGGAGCGACTGGTCCCCTGCATTGTGTCCTGAGCTTCCTGCAGTGCCACGGTGCCCTGCCGCAGGTTCCCCACCACGTCCTCCACCTGGCCTTCCACAGTGTGGGCACGGATCCTGGGGTGAGGGAAGAGGAAGGGAAAGCAGAGACGGAAGGAGTAAGTGAATGGATAAGTGTGGTTCTCCTCACTCACCAGTCCAAGACAAAGGGCAAGGGGAGCATTAGCTCAGTAGCTGTCAATTTCCACGCCAAGCAGACATGATGAAGGTAAGCGTTGTGTCTCAGACTCCAAAGGGCAAGGTTGACAACATGGAAGGCAAGGGTAGGGCCATGCCAAATAGTCTAATTTAGATTCTGGGCATCACTTGGCTTTCTGCTCCCCTAAAGGTTTACAGCCTCACTATGAGTTGGAACCAACTCAACAACACACCACTACCACCACCACCATCACCATCACCACAGGAAGCACCCCTCCTGCTGCCCAGCCTTCTGCATCCTCTGAGCTGCAAAGGTTCTTCTCCCATTCCCAGCAATGGGGTTGGGGAACAAAATGTCAGCTCAAACCTGGGCAGGTAGGAAGCATGGGGCCCGGGCTGTACCTGGCCTGCTCAGCCTCAGTCTGCAGCCTGCGGGCTCGTGCAATGTCCTGCTTGGTCTGAGACAGCACCAGGTCCACATTGGGGAGCCTGGCTGCAATTGCCTGGATCTCGTTCATCTTCCGCAGGACTGTAGCAGAGTCCGTGGGCAGCCACAGGGCCAGCACCGCCTCGCTAACCTCCTGGATGGTGGCTGCGTCAGTATCAGGGTCTAGAAGACAGTTGTCCACGGCATTTGGAGAACCCACCTCATCTCTCGAAAGAATCAAGCTGAGAAGCATTCATAGAAGGTGTACAAGGTGGCCCTTCCGCCCAATGCCCCCAAGGAGCTGCCAATTCCTCTCAACCAGCCTCAGTGCCCCGTTCCGCGAGTGGTCGGGGACTATTACAGGTAGAGTATCCATGCTGCCGAGAGAAGGATGTTGGCACAGCTGTGGCCAATGTCTGGAACCACAGGAAGCTGTAGGCTGGGAAGAGGGGGTGGTGCCAGGCAGCTGGTATGAAACAGTGCTGAAGCACATATACAATCAGCCCTAAATGAGACCGAGAGGCCAACAAGTGGAGCTGCTTCTCTGAAAATAAGACCTCATCCACACAACCCTCCTCAGACCAGAGTGCTCAATTTTTATTAGGTCTTTGCTCGAAGGAAAGAGCCCTGGTGGCATAGTGGGTTATGAATTGTGTCGCTAACTGCAAGGCCAGAGGTTCAAACCTACCAGCTGCTTTGTGGAAGAAAGATAAAGCTGTCAGTTCCTGTGGAAGAGTTCTACTCTGTTCTAGTGGGTTGGAGTCCTGGTGTGGCACTATAGGATATGCACTCAACTGTAAGTTCAGTTTGAACCGCAAGGCTGGTGTTTCAAACTCATCAGCCGCTACTAGGAAACCATATACAGGGTCACACTTAACAACAACAATAGGGTTGCTATGAGCTGGAATCAACTGGGTGGAGGTGGGCTTTGGTGGGTTGCTTATATGTCTGCTCCCTGGCCACCCAGTCTAGAATGCCAACCTCTAAGTCACCTCATCACCTGTTACCCTCTTCCCTATTGTATCTTCCCCCTGGCACTTGCCACCCACAGGTACACTCAGCTCACTGGTTTCTTGTCTGTTCCTCCCTAGAATAAGCGCCATGAGAACAAGGACTTTGCTTTGTCCTCGGGTCTCTCTCCAGCACCTAACACAGTTCCTGGTACCTGGGCACTCAGTATCTGCAGAGTGAACGAATGAGTAAGTTGGGTTGGGCTCCAGATCCAGTTCTCCCCTTTCCTTCTCAAACAACCTGGGGCAAGTTGAGCTCCCTTTCCTTATCTGCAAGAGGAAGAACTCCCTGCCTCCCCCAGGGGATGAAATGAAATATTCAATTAGCAAGCTGTGGTTAGAGGCCACACCTGTGTCAGAGAGCAAGGGCTGAGCTAGAGTTCATGGATGGTGCAGTTAATGTGCTTGGCTTCTAGCCAACAGGTTGGGGTTCAAGTCCACCCAGAAGCATCTCAGGAGGAAAGATCTGGTGATCAGCCACAGAAAACTCTTTGTAACACACATTTAGGGATGGAGGAGGAGATGGACGGCCTGAATTGGAATTAACTCAACAGCAACTTGTTTTATTACTTTATCAACTACATTTGAAGAACCAAGAAAGATGTCTGGTCCTTCCTCCATGCTGGGACCCTGCATGTCAACAGTCCCATCCGCAGTAGAGGAACTGTGGGAAGTAGAACCCATACTGCTATGGTGAATGTGACAATTATTTAGGGTGCTACCCTGAAGTCTGGTAGCGTAGTGGTTGCGAATCAGGCTTTGAACCCCAAGGTCAGCAGTTCAAAACTACCAGCTGCTCCATGGGAGAGAGATGAGGCTTTCTGCTTCTGTAAAGATTTACAGTCTCGGAAACCCTGTGCAGGGTCGGTCTAGGTCGGAATCGACTCGACAGCACTTAACAACAACAACCCTGGAGTCAGGCCCTGTTCTTTCTGTCTTTGCCCCATCATAGAACTTAACCTGAGGACATCAAGAACCCCAGTGCCTAGTCACTCCCTGTCTTTCATGTGAGCCTGGGCAGCACCTCACAGAAGAGACTTCCTTCAAACATCCCACTCTTGAGGCCTGGCCCCTACTGGGGTAGCTGTAAGGTGAGTGGCCATTCAGCCTCACTTGTCTCCACCAGGGTCTATCTCTGTGAATCTGGGATCCAATCCTTTGGTCCATGTCTGTTGTGCACCATGGGTCTAAGTTCCCAGAGGCCCGCTATTGGGGGCAAGGTGACCCAACATGACCTTGGACCATTCACAGGACTTCATGCATCCTTCCAGCTTCTCTTAGACCTGCCATGTGCCTGTCTGGCACAAAGGCAATGCTATAGTGGCAAGAAAAGTCACTGTAGTTACACGAAGCCTTCGGCTCATATTAACTAGGCTCCCAGCCAGCCCAGCAAATTCCCTGGCAAAGACCTGAAATCTAATAATATCATCTCACATTCCTAAGGCACATTTAATTTTTCAAACACATTTTACATCAGTGATGAGAATCAATGTGTGAAATACTACCACCCTGGTTTCCAGAAGCAAAAGAGGAGGCAGAGAGAAACATAACTTGCCCCAAGTCACACAGGCATCTTTCCATTAAGTGACCCTTTCTCACTCCCATGGCAATGGGGGGCTCCACTTAGTCATACGACAAATAACGGGTGACTTTTCTGGGTCTGGCATCAGGCTGTTGTTGTTAAATGCTGTCAAGTCAGTTCTGACTCTTAGTGCCAAGGACCAGCTGGTGGGTTTGAACCACCAACCTTGTGATTCATAGCCCAATGCTTATCTTAGAGCGTCACACCAGGACTTCAATAGTAAGAAAGTTGGTGATCCCTGATCTCTTGTAGAGAGATGCACTAGCAGACATAGGAACCCAACAACCACAGCCATCACATCAATTACCACTCAACAGCCCCATGTGTTACAGAGTAGAACTTCTCCCAAGGGTTTCCTTGACTGCAGCCTTTAAGCCTTTAAGGCTGCCAGAATGTTTCCATGGAGCTGTTGGGTAGTTTAGAACCGTCAACCTTTCGGTTAGCAGCCAAGCACTTAACAGTTTGTGCTACCGGAGCTCTGGGATTTCCTTTCTGCTGGTGGCTTTAGGCTTTGTTTGCTCTTCTTTTTCTAGAACCTCAAGTTGTAGGGTAAGGCTATTGGGTTGAGATCTTTCTTCTCTTTCAATGTAAGTATTTGTTGCTATAAAATTCCTTCTAAGTACTGACTTTGCTACAGCCCATGGATTTTGGCAAGTTTTGTTTCATTTTTGCTCCACTCTAAGTATGGAAAATGGAATTAGAAGATAATGGAATTTTCCCACAAACTTTTTGAAGTTCCCTTGTGTGTATGTATAATTATTTCTCTGTTAGTTTCTTCCTTGACCCATTGGTTGTTCAATAATGTGTTGTTTAATTTCCATATATTTGTATGCTTTCTGGGTTTCCTTCTGCTATTAACTTCTAGTATCATTCCCTTGTGGTCGGAGAAGACAGTCTGTGTAATTTCCATCTTTCAGAATTTACTGAGAGGGAGATGGCATTTAGACAGAGACCTGGAGGACAGGAAGCAGAAGCCTGGGGGAGAACATTCTAGGCAGAGAAACAGCTAATTAAAATCCCTGAGTCAGGCAAGAGTGTGGCAAGTTAGAGGAGCAGAAGACAGAAGGTCGGCACTGGCCACAGCCCAAAGTCTGGACTAAGGCCAGACTTTTCAGGGTAAGATTAGAGTTGAGATCTTTTCTAAGAAAAAGGTGAATTCCAGATAAATGGCTGCAGAATATGTGGAACAAAACTCGAAATTATTTGAAAGAAATAGAAATTATTCAGAAAGAGGCTGGAAGAACCTGACCCTCACCCACAACCACCCTTCATGCCTGGAAAGGAACTCAGCCTTGTGGCCCAATAGCCAAGCAGTAGATAGGTAAATAGGCAGGAGGGGTGGGGAACAACACTCATAATGTATGCTCACTATGAATGATGGAATGGTCAGTCACTCAGAAGGGATGAGAAGAAGGCTGGAATGGAAACAGGAACCACAGGGAGGAAATGGGGTAACTTGTTTTAGGGAGGGGGTTGTAATCAGTGAGATGAAACAAAGTGTATGATTTGTTGAATGTAAAACTGATGATCTTTCCTGTAAACCTTCATTCAGTTCACAATAATAAGAAAGATAAGGGTGAAGCTATGGGAGGTATTTAAGCAAGAAAGGAACACAATCCAATTTATGTTTGTAAAAGTCAATTCAGGCTGTTAGTTTAAAAATGAATTATAAGGGAGTAGGCAGGGATTTGGGAGGATAACTAGAAGGCTGCCATAGTGTCCCCACAAACACTAAATGATGGCTCAGAACAGCCAGGGGAGCAGCAAGAAGTGAGGGAAGTACAACGTGCTGAGTGAAGGAGGCTTCTGGCAGAGCCTCTGCATTATAAAAGACCATAGGTGTAATCCTGAACCCCATCCAGAATCTTCTGAGGTGGGAAATTTCCACTTGAAATGACAAGCAGACCAGCCTGGAGTGTCTAGAAGAACAGAAGATATTTCTTGAAAGAAAGACCTACAGGAAAATACAAAACAATATAGGCAGTCTGACTGATGACTATAAGAACAACTCACCCAGGAAACATCAAGGCAAGTGGTTGGGTCCGCTCAGAGCAAACCGCCTTCCAATACTAAGACTCAATGGGAATACACACTCTGATTGGTGACCACACTCATCACCAATAAGGGGAAGTGAGGGAAAAACAGCAATAAAGCTGTGAGCTAAGCTGTACAATGTTCAATAGACTCCTGTAAACCCGGGTGGAGACCTGGTTGGCCAGCAGTGTGGCAAGACCTGGGGACTCTTGGGCCCAGAGTCAGTGACATAGCCACAGAGGACTAGAGTGGAGAGTGAAGCATCCAGCTGATAAGAAGAGAGGGTATATGCATAAGAATACCCACACTTGCAGATAATACCCACTTGACCTGGCTTCAATGACTGGATGATCAGAGCTCAACTAGAAGAACAAAGAAGAGGAAAAAAAGAGTAATCTAATACAGTTTGATGAACTTGACCTACACCTATGGATGCAGTAGCTCAAAAGAGGGAAGAAAGCTTTACAACAAGGATCACTCCCACCCCCTCCATACACAGAGTAGACAGGGATGGGCAACTTGGACATTGGGTACCCAAAGTTGGGGGGTTCAAAGGCAAGAAGTGACTGGCTTACAAGCTTTCAAGAGGGAACCTAGATCCAAAGGGTGTAGAGGAAGATAGAATCTCCAGTGAGTAGTATCTAGGCAGGGCTGATGAAAGGAAATGCGGATAGGTCTCTTGTGATACAATAATGGATAAATGTTATCAGGACTGACTGTGAGGGTTGGAAATGTAAAGGTAGACGTTTTGTAGCAAGGAGGGGAGTGATTAACTTTGCAGTCTAGGAGCGGAGGTCTCTGGGACCATCAAGGGAGAAGAGCGGAGAGCGGGACCCTACCCAGAGAAGCAGTCAGAGATGGAGACAGAGATGATAACGTCAAGCGATGGAGCAGCTGGGGACTTTAGATCCAGAAAGGGAGAGGGACTGTTTGCTGACGACTTGGGGGGCAGGCTTGTAAGGTATATATACCCTTTGGTTGGTTGATGATGCATGGAAGGGATTGTAACCATGGCAATGAAACGATATACAATAGGATGAATGTAAAACTAATGTTCTCCCATGTAAACTATCACATAATTCACAATAAAACATTTAAAAAAAAAGGAGTGAGGGAAGGAGATAGTGTGTGGGAGTAAGGGGCAGGCCAGGATCAAGTCTCAGGGAGGGAGGACAGAGCCCAGGCTCACCTGTGAGGAAGTCCCGGACCTGCTGGATGAGGAGCCGGGTGCGTCGGACATCTTCTTCCATCTGGGAGCGACTGGTGCTCACCTGGGTCTCCAGGCGTTGAGCATCTGTTTGGATCTGCAAGGCGGCTTCCTCAGCATCCCTGATCTGTTAACACACTTGGGTCAGGAGCAGGCAGAGCCTCAAGAACATCTCTGAGCAGCACCCAGAGCCTCAAGAAAGTCTCTGAGTAGCACCCCGGACTCCATGGGCTACCCTCCCCTAAGGCCTGCCAGGAAGCAGTGGTAACTAATGCAGATTAGCCCTGGGGGGGGGGGGGGGGGGGG